TGATGTGTCCTCATAATGCTACTTAACATGTTCCTTTATTCACCGTGCTTCCTGTAAGTAAGGGGCAGATATCAGCACTTGTTTTGTTCTGTAAAAAGTCAGGTAGCAAATATTTCAGGGTTTTCAGACCCCATGGCTTCTGTTCAACTCTGCTGTTGTAAACTTTTTGCCTTTAGAGGCTGAAGGCTGCCATGAACAACACATACATGTGTGTGGCTATGTTTCAATACAACTTTATTTACAAGAAATGATGGCAAAATTCTGGTCTAGAGACTTGTTCACTTGTGAGTTATTTAATATTTAATAGGTGTGGTAATTGAATATAACACTACTAGCATAGTATGAGAATATTGAGCCAAGAAATTAACAAATGCTATTTCAGGTCCCTAGAGCTTTGGGGGAAATGAAATAAAATTATCCAGTCTAACTCTAGTGATGGCCATTGTGTAGCAACACTGAACAAGTCTCTAGACCAGACAGTATGATTACATTGATTACAATATGATTACATATGATTACAATGGGCTGGAGCAATAGCACAGTGAGTAAGGTGTTTGTCTTGCACGCGACCAACCAAGTTTGATTCCTCCGACCCTCTTGGAGAGCCCAGCAAGCTACCGAGATTATCTCGCCCATACAGCAAAGCCTGGCAAGCTCCCCGTGAAGTATTCGATATGCCAAACACAGTAACAACAAGTCTCACAATGGAGACATTACTGGGCCCGCTCGAGCAAATCGATGAACAACGGAAGGACAGTGCTACAGTGCTACAGTGCTATGATTACAATACTGTATAGAAGAATAGTATTGGTACTATCATTAAAATAAAAAATTCAAGTTAAAAAAAACAGGGATGAAAGGAAGGAAGGAAAGAAGGAAGGATGGATGGATGGAGGGAGGGAAGGAGGGAGGGAGAGAAGGAGGGAGGGATGGTGAAAGAGAAGGAAGGAAGGAGGGAGAGAGGGAGGGAAGGAAGGAAGGAGGAAGGGAAGGAAAGAAAGAAAGAAAGAAAGAAAGAAAGAAAGAAAGAAAGAAAGAAAGAAAGAGAAAGAAGGAAGAAGGGTGAAAGGGAATAATATCTAGCCAAAGGCAACAGAACCTGAAAACCTGATATATGAAATTGAGCTTTACCATGGTGAAGGGTTGGGGAGGGGACTGTAGATTGAGGAGGAACACTGGTGAAGGTTATGGTGTTGAAACATTACATGCATGAAACCCCATTACTGACAATATTGAAATCTTTGGTGCCAAAGATTAAAAAAATAAAAGAACATTTTAACAAATCCTGCAGAGATCCTTTTAGAACCCATACATCAATGTAATCACACTTTATGCAAGAGAAACAAATTTTTAGATTAAAGATTAGATAAGAAAGTCAAGACCTGAAAATTGATAGAGAAATATAGTTGACTTTTGGTAAGTAATGGTTTATTAAATGACTGCCTGGAAATGGTTAAGTAAGAGAGAAAAGGATAAAGTTATAAGAGAAAAATTTCTTAAAATGATTGCATTAGGATTAATAACAAATTATCAGAACAGCACACAAAGAAGCAGACTTCAAAAGACAGTTGTAGTGCAAATAATTTTTAAAGGATTGTCTGGTAAAATATATTAAGAAATGTACTAAATGTTGATAAAAGGACAAATTTTCACTAGAAAATTGAGTAAAAGGTATAAGCAGCATATTTTAAAAAGGCCTGAGTACATATTCATATATATTTACCTCATATCTATGTTTAATCTCACTAATCATTGGAGAAATCAAATTATAGTGATTATGAGATGCGAAAATGACATAAGATCAGACCAATATCTGACACTACTATTGAAATTAAAAATTTCTTGGAATGTTTTATTCCAAGAAACCTTACCATTATCATTATTGTAAATCGCAGTGCCTAAAATATAGTTGTAAAAAAAGAAGAGAGAAAACAAACATTCCTATAACTCATCAATTATGCTTCTGGGAATTCTAGCTGGAGAGCTTCACTTGCTTACTCAAGACACTTTGACCTGGGATAATTCCTATGAAATTTCCAGATTTGAAGATTAAAACAGACTGTCAAGGCTGAAGAGATAGTACAGAAAGCATGTGGCTGACCCCAGCTTGATCCCCAGTACCACATATGGATCAAAAATGGAAACACAAACAAACAAAGCCAAAAAACCTGGAATGTCAGCAACTTCATACAGCTTGGCCTAATATAAGGATGTAACTCCTGAACTGTTTTTTTAGGCTGGGATCCTTACAATGAGGCTATGGGAAAAAATGTAAACAACATGAGAAAGAATAGCTCAGGGTGGAACAGTATGTATTCAGCTATCAAAATTCAAGGCACTATAAAGTACTTTTAGATATAAAGTACAACAGACTATGGTATTATTAATATATCTAGTTCCCACATGCAGAACAATAACATAAATGTTCCCCTACTGAGAACTTTTGGATATTGTGAGTTTTTCTAAAGTACATGAGAAAATATTCTTATAATTTAGTATCACAGTTTCAATGAAAGTTTTCTTGACAGTAAACTGTGTTTGATTGGGTGAAGAAGGGTGGGGATTGAGATATGGATACAGAGGGGTCTGTGCTATAGGTGAAACTTCTCTTAATAGCTCACTCCTTCCCACTCATGGATATTAGAGAGAAGATTAGAGTGTATTGAATGCAATCCATGGTCAGTGATTAAGAACATTAACTTTGGGGGGTGACCGAGGGAAAGTTACTTAACACTCTGTGATGAATTGTGAAGTGGAGATTTTTTGTGAACAATATTGAGAAGCAGCTCCAGAGGAACTGTATGGGCTCAATGAAAAGATAAATCATTCACATTTCCGTTGCTACTATTTTCATTACTTGTCTGATTCACTGTTGTTACTACTGTGATGTTGCTGCCCTCATGCCTCCTTGGAAAGTCTAAGAGTATTCCTAGAACAAAAGTGAGATTCCTTCATCTGGAAAGTGCAATCATGCCTGGAGTTCTGCCTTTGGTATCTCTACTGGTTATATGTTGTGTAAAATAATTACCACAAATGTAGCCGCTTAAGACAACACACATTTGTTACATCAGTTTCTGTGGGTCAGAAGTCCAGGTGTTGCATAGCTGGATCTTCCACTTCAGTGTCTCATAAGGTTGCAGTGAAAGTTTTGACCACTGGTATGGTCCCGTTGAAACTTGACTGGAGATTAATCTACTTCCATGCTAATGCAGTTAGTTGGTCATTATCAGTCAGGTCCTTATATGATTCTGAACTGAGGGCTTCAGTTTCTTACAGTTGTCAGTCAGAGGTTCAATTAATGTGGCATCAAAGTAAGCAAGGTGGGATAGTTAAAATGAAGCAGGAGAGTCTTCCAGCAAGATGAAATTGCCATCTTGGATAACATCAACGTGCATTTTTCAACTTTTCTATATTTTACTGATTATAAATGAGAATGAGTGGTAGATATCATCTAAGGGTAGGGGATCACACATGAGTGTTCTTCTAGCAAGTAAGGATCATAAGAGTTGCGTGAGCATCTGTTCATCACTATATCCAGGAGTTAGAAGCTGGTAGTTGATTGGTCACACCTCAGAAATCTTTCAGTCTTAGTTCTATACCACCATAATAAAGCAACTATTGCAGTAAAGCAGATAACCTAAGCTATTTGGTTTTCCAGTGCATTATAAGTCTTTTATGCTATACTGACATATAGTAAGTGTATAATAAATTATACATAAAATATATCTATCTTATTTTTAAAATACTTTTTAAAATGGGTGCTGGAGCAATAGCACAGTGGGTAGTGCGTTTGCCTTGCACTCGACTGACCCAAGTTCGATTCCCAGCATCCCATATTGTCCCCCCGAGCACCACCATGAGTAATTCCTGAGTGCATGAGCCAGGAGTAACCCCTGAGCATTGCCAGGTGTGACCCAAAAAGAAAAAAAAAGCAAAAATTACCCATCATCTGAGCCCTGAGAAAGTCATAATCTCTGCTGGTGAAAGGTCATGTGAAAAACATTTATATCTACAAAGTGTATAAAGTGAAGCATAGTAAAGCAAAATGTGCCTGCATTTATTTATCAGTTCATCTATGCACATGTTGGAAATGAAGATAGGGGCACATTCTCCACCTCAGAGATTTGAGATGTCTAATACACTTCTGTTACTTTAGAGAAGATTCTCTACCTTGGAGTTTGGCCCATTTTAACTTGAGATGTAGGGTCTAGGCTTTTTTCCCCTTTGGAGAAGCTTGCGTCCTCTCTTAAACACGTCTTTCTCCTTCATATTTCTATAGTAAATTTCCATAAATAAAACCATTTTACTTTAAGAAATGGAAAAATAGTGGTTCAGGGATGTGGCTCAGCTGTAGAGTACTTGCCTTGTACGTGTGAGATCATGGATTCAATCTCTGGCACTACAGAAAACAAAAATGAAAGAATAAAAATATTAAAATGGAAATGGACTGCCTTTTATCTCATAGGGTTGTTAAGAAGATCACATGTGTAGGATATAGTGTACTCTATATCCACCCAACTCCTATCTACTTTTGCATCTGTCTGTTTTAACTACCACCTTGCTCCATGAGGGCTTGACCACATCTGGTCACCTATGTGAATCTTTTGCACTAGGAAAAACAAACCTTGGTTTACCCAGAGTTCATGTTTCATTAATTAAACATTCATGATGCATTTCACATTGCTATGAGGTAGGTCAGTTGATCAAGGACTTAAAGGGAGAACACAGGCTATAAATTCCCACCATGTGAATTGTCTGTGAGAATTAACTTCCAGTTCTGGGGACAAGACCCACGGGAAAACTAAGTACTGGGCCAAAAGAGAGAGTGACCAAGAGTGGCCTAGCCACTCTTAACCTAAGAGTTGACCTTCAGTGAAGTAGAGAACTAAACCATTCAGGAAATGTTAGATGTTCCACCAGATGTTCTTTGGACTCTAACTTGTGTTCTGTCTGTTCAAGGAGTGTCATTCAGACTTCAATTCTGTTTTTTGTCATTTCAGAATGAAGCTGGGAGCAAATTATCTGCCTTTTATGAAGAACAATCCAAGCTTGCCCAAAACTTCCCACTACAAGATATTACTGATCCCGAAATCAAGCTTCAGTTGCAGGCCCTGCAACAGAGTGGGTCATCAGCACTCTCAGCAGAAAAGCTCAAACGCGTATGTGGCCACTTTAGCACTGATCATGGGGGTTGAAGTGTGTGGGGAATATCAATCATTATCATCTACTATGAATGCTTTCTTTATCTGCAAAGAGAGTAATGTTGATATTAGGAGACAGTTCTGTTTTCAGGTAGAGTGACCACCTCATTTGCCCTTCAAGTAGAGTCCATTTGAGAGTAAAAGAAGACACAGATAATAATTATGTTAGGACACAGAACAGAACTAGGATTGCCTGGATACTGCATATATCCATACAGAGGTCACCTTCCTGAGGACCGACAGTCTGAAGTACATACTAAGTCTATGCCAGTAGTTCTCAACAGGAGATAATTTTGTCTCCCAGGAACATTTAACAATTTATAGGGATTATTTCGATTGTCACAAATATGCGTGTTTTTCGTTGGCATCTAGTGGATAGGGATCCCGCAAAAAATTCTAAAATTCACCAACGGTGCCCAACAATAGAGAAATATGTGGTCCAAAATATTTGAAATTCCAACCTTAGAAAGTCCTGGATATAGTATAATCCTTTTTCTCTTTTGTTCTCGACCCTCCACTATAGCTCTCTTGACAAAGTGGCCACAAACTCAGTTCAACACACTTTAGATGTTCCTTTACTCTTTTCAAGACATAAATTCTCTCTGCGGGTCCTCTGTAGAAAGTTGCTTCTTTCTTTCTTTCTTTCTTTCTTTCTTTCTTTCTTTCTTTCTTTCTTTCTTTCTTTCTTTCTTTCTTTCTTTCTTTCTTTGTCACACCCAGCGATGCACAGGGGTTACTCCTGGTTCTGCACTCAGGAATTACCCCTGGCGGTGCCCAGGGGACCATATGGGATGCTGAGAATCAAACCCGGGTCGGCCGCGTGCAAGGCAAATGCCCTACCCGCTGTGCTATTGCTCCAGCCCCAGATGCTTCTTTCTTTAAGCATAAAGTTTTATCTCCACTTTGTTCTGCCTTCTGGGATCAATCAATCAATCAATTAGCTTATATATATGTCATTAAATAAACAAATATGCCTATTCCTAAAATCCTGGTTGGGTATTATCTAAGGTAAAAATTTTCTTGGTAAACATTTTTGTTTTTACTTTTTAAATTGTGAATACTGTCTTTTAAAATTTTATTTAAAGAGCCATGATTTACAAAGAAACTGATAGTTGTGTTTTAGGAATACATAATTCAACACCAATCCCTCCACCAGTATTCCCAGATTCCCTCCCCATCCCAGCCCCACTCCACCCCCACCTGTCAACTTGACAGGCACAATACAAAGTCTCAGTGCTTTCCGCCTAGATCTCTTGTATTCAGTTCTGTTAAATCTGTGTTTTGGCTATATGGCTATACCCCTCACTCATATCTTTGGTATCACTGAAGCCCTGATGTCTGTTAATAGGTTAAACATTTTATCTTTGTCAATTTCCTCCTCTGTTCTGGTTTTGAGTCCTCTACCAAGTTCTCGTTGTTGACTTCATTTGTCATCATCCTTGAGTAGAACATAGCACTCTGAGTGGGTCCTGTTCTATATGGAAGTCAATAGGCAAAAGAAATTTTCATACCAAGTTTCACGTCCACTAAAATCCTTTAGGACTAAGTTTTTGTTTTTCTTCTTGGTTTGAGGGTTTTGACAATCATTTTTGGCTCACTTCAATAAAGTTTCCAAATCTCTTTCACCCAACTTGCTCTAAAATGGCACCTTTTCAAAGTTTATTCTAAGGTAGCTTGTCCAAATGCCTAGATCCACTGCTATTAAAATAAAATCTCCAGGGTCTGGAGGGATAGTTCAGTGGGCTGAGTGCATGCAAAGGATGATTTGTATGTGGGTGGACTGGCTTTGATCCCAGGTACTTCATAGTTCCCCAAGCTCTGCGGAAGGAACACCTGAACATTGAACCAGGAGTAGCCTCTGTGCACCACTGGATGTGACCAAAAAATCAAAGTAAAGAACAAAATAACATCTTTTATCTCATTTTTCTCCACCAGGAGCTAGCAAATTTTTTCTGTCAAAGGAAAAATAATCAGTATCTATTAAGGTTTTGTGTGCCATATTGTTCCTGTCACAGTGAGTTAAGTCTGCTGTTGCAGTGGGAAAGAAGCCATAACTAATACATAAATGAATGGGTGGCAGTTTGCCAATAAAACTTAATAAAATCAGCAGTAGATAGGATTTGGTCTGCAGATCACAGTTTACAGACCCTACTGTAACCCATTAAAATATTTTTATCTAAAATATTTGCCTATTTAACATCAAAGTCTTTCTGAGTTTCTTGCCCTCTGAAACTTTGTGTTCTAATATGTATCTATAAAAGGAAAAATCCATGATAAGAACAAAGTTAAAACCATATGGTGCATATCTTCTTACAAGTTCATATTTATTATTCTGCATTCTTTGGGCCAATTATTCAAGTGATTATTATTCTACTTTATCTTGACCATTCCATGATTCCTCATCTTTTTCACAAAGACCATGGAAAACTTTGTCCATAGCTCTGTTAGCTTCTAGACATCCTGGTCTAGCTTAGGTGGAACCTGGATACTGCATATAAGAAAATATTTAAGACCTTTTCTGTTTTTTGGAACACAACTGGAGGAGCTCAGGCCTTACTCCTGGGTCTTTGCTTGGGGATAACTCCTTGGGGGAAGTGCTTAGTGTTTGGGGTCAAATTGGAGGTGGACTGTGTGCAAGGCGAGCACCTAAATCCCTTTATTATCTCTCCAATGCCTGCACATTGCATTTTAAAATATTTCAGAACATTCTAATGTGAAGGCTGGATTCGAAATACTAATATACAAGTAAGAACTTTAAGTGGGAGAGGAAGGGCTCAAGGATGCCTGAATTCAATGGCAAGGAAGTAGGGGAGATTCAAAAGCAGAAACAGAAAGAGACTAAGAGGTCTTTTGTGTCATGGTAAAGAACTTGGATTTCCTTCGGACTATGGAATCTTTTGGACATTTTTAGCATGAGTCATAGTTCACGTTTGAAAAAAATGACTCTTGTAGCAGAATGAAAAAAGGAAGAGAGAAATAGAAGGGAAAACAGGGCCTTTAATGCAGTGCTTCTAAAACTATCAATTAGGAAAGAACGAGTCCTTCCTTGCTTTCTTTCTGCTATTTCTTATCTCAAGTTCTATACTCATCATAGAACTGAAACAAATCATTTGCTGACTCTCTGGTCTATGGACCATAATATTGCTTTGTTCTGCTACTTTTATATTCTTTTACCTACAGGGTAAGGTTTAAACTCTTTAGTATGACAGTGGAAGATCCCTTATAATCAGACCGTTGTTTACTTCCCCATTCTCATCTTCACTTTCCTCAATCAACAGTACGATTTCCTTAAATATGACATCACTCCTGAAAAGGACTTGTCTTTTCTAATCTCCTCACATCTCTACCTATTCTCTATGTGGCCAGCAGAGAATTAGTTTTCTTATAATACCCATATCCATGTCCCCTACTCATTGAAGTCATTCAAGAATCCTCAAGTTCTTTAATTATCCATTATCTTCCCACATAATTTCTCAGTGACTTATAGCATCCATCACTCTGTGATATAATTATTTATTGCAAGGATGTCTCACTGTCACATGACTGTGGGGTCCTCGAGGACCAGTGACTTGCTCATATCACAGCTGTCATAGTATTGAACTTAGTTGATGTTCCGTAAATGTGAATGCTGAATGAAACAACAGCTGCACCTCTCTGTGTATGTATAGATGAGAAATGTCCTTGGGATTTTAGTAGATTAATATCTTTCAATAATTGCACATATATTTAAGTCTTTGTGCTTTCTGATAGTGAAGAAACTTAACTAATTGTGTTTCTATATTACTACATAAAAGGTGAACTTCTGAATCTTAACTCATTAAAAATCACCTGTAAAAGGCGCATATTTATATTAGCATTCTCTCCACAATATTTTCCATTCTAACAGTGTATTACCTTTAATCTGCAGTTGAATGAAATTCTAAACAATATGAGCACCATCTACAGCACTGGAGAAGTTTGCAGGCCAAATAACCCTAAAGATTGTTTGTTACTTGAACCAGGTAGGCTGCTAATTTTGAGCAGTGATTATGAAATTTACTTTCATCTCTCAAGTACCACAACTGAAAGTGATATTGGATGATGAGCCAAATGTGATAAGATCTTGCATATATGTTTTACATACATGCCCTTAAAATTATTGTAGATTCTGTGACATTCAAATAATTTAATTAAATTAGTGATTTAATTATATCAATGGTTTCTTTTCTTTGCAGCAATATTCTGGAGCTATAATAAATTCAAATGAACCATTCCAATTCAAAATAAAAAATATCGAGTTGGAATGGTTCATTCAATAATCTCGTGACCTCGATTTCTGCCAGTCTGACTTTTAATTCTTTATAAAGTTCATATAATGGACCACAAATAAAAATCTCATAAATGCGTTTTTATGTTTCTTGGGTTGATAACAGGTTTGGATGACATTATGGCAAATAGCAATGACTATTATGAAAGGCTTTGGGCCTGGGAAGGCTGGAGGTCTGTCGTTGGCAAGAAGCTGAGGCCATTATATGAAGAGTATGTGGACCTGAAAAATGAGATGGCAAGAGCCAACAGTAAGTGTTCTGATCTGTAGAGGTCCTAAAGCTCTATATAGGCTATTTCATGCATTGTCAAGTCAATCTTTGGTATAAAGTTGACTAAATTATTGATTATCACAGTCAGGTTATTTGTCTCCAAGATGAAACTTGGAGTAAATAAAGAAACTTGAAGGAATAAAGAAAGATGCATTCATACTCTACAGTTAAAAAAAACAACTAAGGTCAAGTCTCAGCCACAGAGTCTCAAACAAATTACTTGTCTGTAAAGATCTTGGGATCCTGAATACTGGAATTTATGAGGCATTCTACTTCTCAGACACAGTGGGAGACAGAGACACTGTCTTTTCCTAAACTTCTGACAGGTCACAGCTCATTGTCAAAGATTATTTGTGTGTTTACCTCACACAAATAATCTCAGAGTTGAGGTAAAAAAATGAAAATTTAAAAAGTGCAATTAATTTAGTTTAGAAATCCATTATTTTCTGCAGTTGTAAATATAACTAAAATATTTAGTGATAAAAATCTTAGCAGGGAGAAGAATTTTATTATCTTTTGACTTATTCTCCAGCCTTAATAATGAGATGAATCTATGACCTGAGGAATAACTTTATTGTTTGCTCATTCACTACCTCCTGGATAGTATAAGGAAATTCTTTTTTCATCTGTTGTTTCCAAATGTGTTTCAACATCACTTCAACTCATATTTTCAATCTCTGTGCAAGTTGGAAGCAGATCATTGCCATGTTTGTTCTTCCAAATGTTTATTTCATATTCTTCACAATCATGTAGTGCTAATGCACCTATAAAAAGAAAAATTATATTTTGGCCAAAAATACATCAGCAAACTTTATTAGCTAATACTCTAATATGAATTCCCATTTCCTTATAAGATGCTAATGAAACATGCAGAGATGTGTTAGTTATACACATGCAAGCACACGTGCTGTGGCAATGTCTAAGATGAGCTGGGTTAGGTTTGAAATATAGGCATTGAACAAAAAGAGAACTACAATTAGAAATAAAACCACCAGAGATACAATTGCATATTTGAAAGATTAAAATGTAAACTGACCTGTGAAGAGAAGTAGAGACCCAGGGTTAGGATAGTAGGAATGTGAACTTGGTCAAGTTATTTAACCATCTAAGAACAGGATGCTAATATGCACAATGAGGATTATAATAAAGTCGGCACTGTAGAGGTTTTGTGCTTATTAGATGAGATAATATATTTAAATTTCCAGCACGAACCAAGTGTTTAACAGAGGTCAGTTGTGTTACTACGCCTTTGCACCCCTTTGAGTTGCTGTTGAAGACAACAAATCATAATCTTTGGATCCCCCTCCTCCCCAACCAAGTCTAATCTGAGTGGATGGTTTTTATTTCTTTCCTTTATGTTCTTTTCCCTTTTCAAAAACAGATTACAAGGACTATGGGGATTATTGGAGAGCAGATTATGAAGCAGAGGGAGTGTACAGCCGTGACCAGTTGATGAAGGATGTGGAACAGACTTTTACAGAGGTAACTAGGGAACTCTAGGCATAGACTGATGTAGGACAGTGCACAGAAAGAAGAGATAGCAACTAAAGGCACTTTGATTTGTTCTTCACACACTGGCCAGCCATTTCCATGCCTATGGTTATGAAGTATTAGAGCTTGAAAAGATCTTCTTAAAGGGTAAACAGACTTTAATTTTGTTTTGCTTTTGGGGTCACACCCGGCAATGCTCAGGGGTTACTCCTGGCTCTACACTCAGGAATTACTTCTGGCAGTGCTCGGGATATCATATGGGATGTTGGGAATCAAATCCGGTTGGCTGCGTGCAAGGCAAACGCCCTATGCGCTGTGCTATCGCTCCAGCCCCAATGAACAGACAACTTTACAACCAAGCAGAACTGCTCTATTTCTCTTCCAGTCACTACTTAACCGTTACCAATAACAAGATTATAAAATGCAAAAAAGATTGCAGAAAGGAATGCACAAAGGAATTGCCCTTTAGATTATAGTGTTCTAAACTGCAGAAAGGAATGATGATTCTTTAGATTGTAAGAAGGTATGAATGGTGATTGCACGCTAACCAGGGTTGGCACTGCCTTTCTTTGTTAGCAGAGCTGTAGTCTTTGCTTCCTTCCTCAGGCCACTATTATTTCCTTAGCCTTTGCTAAAGAAGCCTTTTTAAGGCAGGAAGAGTCCTGTGAGATGTGCCCCCTTGATACTTATCAATTTATTCCTTTTCCTTCATTTTGACCTGAATTTTCCTCATTCCTTACCTGGAGCTGGGATGCAATCGACTACAAAGTGGACATAAGGGAACTTTGAAGTTGTAGTGGATATGTTTAACATGAGATAGTGGTGATGGTGGTTGCCCAACAATGCGCATGTACTAAAACGTAATTATAAAATATACACTTTAAAATGGCTGAATTTATGATATTAATAGCACTCCACTTTAACAACAGAGGAACTAGGTAAAATCTTACAATGAAATTTATATTGCAATTCTTTTCATTTTGGGACGTGTGCTCCTCCAGAAATGCTGATTATTTTATGCAGTAGAGCTAGTTATCATCAGTATCTAGGCAGTAGAAATTATTTCAAATTCTTAAGAATATTTTATAAAAGAAATGTCAATTTAGGGAAATTCCACTTTTCTACAGAGGCCCTCCTTTTTGGTATTGGGCATTAGAAATTGTGATTGGTCTTGAATTTTCTTCCTGTACTTTTCAGATTAAACCATTATATCAACATCTTCATGCTTATGTGAGGACAAAACTGAGAAAGAACTTTAGTCAAATCGGCTCATCTGGATGCCTGCCTGCTCATATGCTTGGTGAGAAACTCCAGGAAATCTTTGTGACCTTCACTTTTTACTATTTATACCAACTAAGTTGTTTTGGGGAGGGAGACCTAACATAAAACCTTTGAAAATTTCTGTGAATAAAGCTAGCAACATAATAAAACTTGAATTTTAAAGGTAACTTCTTAACAGAAAAGCCCTTCTAAATCATTCTTTATTGTTTTATCCGATACACAAAGAGTAATTATATTGGTCACAATACAAAGAAAATAGGTTCTTTAAGACAGAAAAATAAGTTCAAGTTCAAATAAGTGTGGAAATGGGAAAATAATCTTTGCTATTCAAATTGATTGATTGACTAAGCTCTTATGGTGGAGTTTAGGATCTTTGTATCAGAGGAAAGACGCTTTGAAGATTAGGCATAGTTGGGGGTAAGAGAAAAATATTCCAGAATTAAGGTACAGATTAAATTGAAACTTCATAATGTCACTGTAAATGGCACAAATAATTTTTTCTGAAAATTACTTTGTTTGGAATCATGAGTAAGGAATAAAGTCTTTGTCATTAAGGAAGATGTTCAGTGTAGGAGACTCAATCTCTTAAAAACTTCAGACCCTGTCACAGAGCCTTTGTAGACCACACAAGACCTGGGACCTTTCATTGAACCTCCTGATACCCTTCCAGAGTTCCTTCCCCTTTTGCTGAATCTGAGGCCAAATAAAATATACATGCTTGGAAAGTTCATGTCATGCATACACAGCATTCCTACCAAAGTCAAACAAGTTGCTGGTAGCTGATCTCCAGTAAAATCTCTCAGCAAGAAAGAAGATGGACGAAGGATTTGTAGGAATCTAGACCCACATTCTTGTTTGTTGTCTCTGACCCCGAAATCCAATTTCAGATTTTTTGAAATGTTTGAAAACTTAACTATTTAGTTAAGTGTTGCTATAGTAGTAAAAGTGTAACTCAATTGCTAGTTCGTAGAAATCTCTAAATGATGGCCCTGTAAGATTTCTCTAGAACCCAATAGATTAAGTTTCTCTAGAATCCAACAAGCTTAAATTACTACTAACTTAAGTTTGTTTTTTTTTGTCCCGTGACTGGTAGATTTTATAAATATGTTTTGAGACTATATTAGCTATGATGTTCTGTTAGGGCTGGAGTGATAGCACAGCAATAGCACGTTTGCCCTGTGTGCAGCCAGCCCGGCCGAGCTGGGTTCGATCCCTCCGCCCCTCTCAGAGAGCCCAGCAAGCTACCGAGAGTATCTCGCCCACACGGCAAAGCCTGGCAAGCTCCCCATGACATATTCGATATGCCAAACACGGTAACAATAAGTCTCAAAATGGAGACGTTACTGGGTCGGCTGGAGCAAATCGATGAACAACGAGGGGGACAGTGGCAATGACAGTTCTGTTGACGTAACAATTATATATTTTAATTATAATTTGAAATGAAAGAAGCTGGGATATTTCCCTAACAAGTTTTGCCTAATCACACATTGCCTACATTTAGAAGAGATGGGAAAAATGAAGGGAGTTTAAAATAAGAGAAAAGTTTTAAAATAAGTGGAGAGGAAAAGAACCAGTGAGATAGTATAGGGGTGTGGGTGCCTGGTTTGCATGTGTGTGACCTGGGTATGATCCCCAGGACCACATTGTGCCCTGTAACTCTTCAGAGGCCCCAGAGCACTACTGGGGTGGTCCTGGTGCTTCCTAGAATCGTAGGGCCACAACAGCACTATGGATTCTGGCCCTGGAACTGAACTGCTGGTCCATTTCACCAAGTATTACCCGGAGTGACACCCAGATCCCCCAAGCACCACTTTGGAAGCTCCTTCTCTCCCCCCAAAGAAGAAAGAGGAGAAAAGGAACTTGTGAAAATGAGGAACAGAAATTAGGTTAAATCTATATTATGTGATCTATGGCAATTCTACTTTATGTACGATGTAAAATCGGGTCTATATTTCTGCTCTTTGTCATATATTAATGAATTTTTTTTAAATAGGTGATATGTGGGGTAGATTTTGGACAAACCTGTACCGCTTCACAGTTCCCTATGGAAACAAACCAAACATTGATGTTACAGATGCAATGGTGAATCAGGTAGGGAAAAATAGTCCCTGAAAATTCAGTCAAAATCATATGTTTTATTTCCTCTTGTGCAACCTTACTTGTTATAGTGTACATTTTGCATCTAAACCATGTAAATGCAAATATTCAAGCTACCTTAGATCTGGGCTGGAGCAATAGCACAGCGAGTAGGGCATTTGCCTTGCACGCAGCCTACCCGGATTGATTCCTTCACCCTCTCGAAGAGCCCGGCAAGCACCGAGAGTATCCTGCCCGCACAGAAAAGCCTGGCAAGCTACCTGTGACGTATTCCATATGCCAAAAAAAAAAAACACCCAGCAACATGTCTCACAATGGAGACGTTACTGGTCCCTTCTTGAGCAAATCGATAAACAATGGGAGGACAGTGCCACAGTGCTACTTTAGATCTAGTTCTAGGTAGCTCTCTTTTCAATAGTACAATGGTCAGGATGTCAGGATGTTTGCCTTGCATGTGGCCAACCTGGATTTGATTCCTGGCACCCAATATGGTCCCCAAAGCTGCCAGGAGTGAGCTCTGAGCATCATCATGTGTGGTCCTTAACCAAAAAAAGCTCCAATGTCATACTCATTTATATCAATATAAACCACTGAAGATCAATAATTTACTTTTTAACTGAATTAATTTTTATTGAATCATTTTTTTTAAAGAAAATGAGTCCCCTGCTTCATATCTCCAAGTATGACACAATAGAAAAACTAGACAAGTGTTCTTTGAGATGAATGGGAAGTTTTCTGTGTCAGTATGTGATTTTGGGAAAGTGCTTATTAATTCTACAAACTTATATATACTTTTTCCTGATGTGGATGTTATCTCCAAAGAAATCTTGGCTAGCTCCCCGAAGAGTAAGGTGGATGATAGACATCTGTTGCTACCCCTCTCCAGTTTCAGAACATTCTGAGATTCAGGTTCCAATATCTATATGAAACCAAGATTCAACTACCCTTTGGCTGATAAAAGTATTACAGTTTTTTTTGTTCCTAGCATCCACAATTTTATTGTTTCTATCTTGCACTGAGCCAAGCACCAGGGCCCAACCCCTTGAAGGAGCTCAATGAATGATTTTCAGTATGACTTTAATATGTTTTGGCCAAGAGAAATATATTGTCATTTGTGTTTATTTTTGGAATATTAAGAATAAAGACAGACCACTTAAAAAAGTTACAAGAATAAAGACAAGTGGTTTGGCTGTATTTCAGTGATAGAGTGCATGCTTTGCATACATGAAGTCCTGGGTTCTATCCCTGCACCAAAAAAATAAAGATAAAGCATGGCATATAATCACACTTAGTCTATTTTAATATTGTGATGCATTTTCTCATAAAGTTTCTACTATGTACATGCTTTATTCTACTTTTCTATGTATAAAACAAATATTTTATAAATATAAATGTATTTGTATTTTCCATTCACAAATATTATTTTACCATTCTGCTAATTGCTTCACTTTTCTACCATAATTTAAAATTGTTTCAAATGGAAGTGGAATTCTTTAACTGATTTTCTGAGAAGTTCCTAATTTCCCGGAGATAGAATTACTGAGATAAAGAATATAAAGTCTTTGAAAGATGTCTGCACATGTCACCAAATTTCCTTCCTGAAAGATGAGACCTATGTACAGAACCAATGGAAAGAAGTCTGCTATTATTTTAATGCTACAATGAACTATCGTTCATTTCGTTTCAGAACTGGAATGCAGAGAGGATATTCAAGGAGGCTGAGAAATTCTTTGTGTCTGTTAGCCTTCCCAGTATGACTGAAGGATTCTGGAAGAACTCTATGCTAACTGAGCCAACCGATGGCCGGAAAGTGGTGTGCCATCCCACAGCATGGGATATGGGACATAAAGACTACAGGTAGTAAAGCTGACACCCAGCTGCTTCTGAAATGGGAGGCAGTAGATGCAGGGTTGAGGATGAATTTGGACTTCTTCTCTGCCTCACTATTATTCAGAATAAATGAATTAACTGCCTCTGGTTGAAGACTAAGCCCATGAGAGCATATCTGGGCTTTCCTAGGAGGCCCTGAATTGAACCTCTAGAACAGTCAGCCTCATTTGAAATAATACAGTCATTTGAGACACTTGGGTATAATGTGGCTAAGAAAGGATTGGTGTTAAAAATGATGGAAGATGAATGTGTGAATTGGGCATTGCTCTTCCACTTCATGTTTTCCTCCTCTGAAAACAGAACAGGTGAATAAATGTGTGTGTGTGTGTGGGGGGGGGAATAAAGAGAGAAGTACACCATGAGAGAAACACGGAGAATATTCTGCAGGGAATCAGAAGAGAAATGGACACAACTTTACTTGGGACTGGGGTCTGACAGGGTGACGTTTGAATTGGGATTGAAGGAGACCAGATAGACTGAGCTGGGAGACCAGCATGCTGAGAGAGGCAGCATCGTATACCAGAGTCAGCAAGTTAGATTAGAAGAAAGGGCATTCAATAAAGGCATGTGTGATGTGGCAAAAAAAAAAACATGGAATTTCAAAGTCCAGGTATGTCAGTTAAGAACCAGACAACCTTGGGAAAAGTATTTAACTTGCTTTCATTTCAGTTTCCTTATCTCTAAAGTGCAGTGACCACACTTAGGTAGAATGTTTGTGAGTGTCTTAGGTTGGTCCTCTAACTTGAGATGGATGAAGAGGCATGAAAGAAGCAAGTTGGGACAGAGAAAACTTAATAAGGATGTGATCTCAGCCCAATATCCTGGGACTCTGGAACAACTTCTACAGAGTTGGTCACACTTTGAAACAAAGGGACTAGCCTTTTGTACCTGCACCTATACTAGTCAGTCATTGGCTATGAAGAGCCTCTGAATGTACGGAGATCTAACCTGCCTGAGGTATCTCCTATTTGGCCAAAGACCAAGAAGGAGGCAGCAGGTCTTTAACCGCCATGAATCAGGAAATTAGGAGATTGGTGGGTCTTTCTGGGAAAGAGGGTCTGGCTGGGTAGGGTTCCATGCATGTACTCTATAGAATACGAATTGACAATCCTTTTCTGAAAAGGACCACATCATGAATAGATCTCTATAGCAATTACTCAGCTCTTCTTTGTGGCATAAAAACACACTCATAGGCAATGCATAAAGAAATGGTCATGACTCTATTTCAATTAAATATCAGTTCTTAAATAAAAGCATGTAGTCTGTCACAACATATTTTACTGACTCCCAGAGTGCTACAGTGAGGCTTTAAAGTGAGTCAGTATATGTAGGTGTCCTAGCCAGGGAATCTTCCATATATAGTTGACATACATCACAGCCATTCTTATTATTTCAAAATATAATAGATAAAAACAAAGTTAGAAAAGCAAGACATATTGGATTGTAAAAAGGAAGTTTTTTCTTGAGGGTGAACAAAGAGTAATTATCAGGGGGGAGACTGACATGATTAGAATGATAGGAAAATTAATTCAGAATCCTACCCAAATATATCTAAACCTCATGGAATGAAACTTCTTTCAACAAGTGACCAGAACAACCACCCAGCGGACAGATGTAGTCCTATCTCATAGTCTAGGTTCACAAGTTGTGTTTCAAATGCTATTTTTCATGACTTCTATATTGTCAACCTCTTCTGGGCTTCTTTGACTTCTCTCTTCATCCCCTCTGAATCATCTACCACTCTCCACACTTTAGGTGCAAGGATCTCATAAGACAAATCCTCTTTTCTTATCATTTCCACCCTAGATTTATGAACCATTACATCCACTCCATAAATTCTATACGAATGATTCCCAAATCAGTAATTTACAGAAGCTTGTACTATTATTTCTCAATCTTGACTACACCAACTGCTTTCAGTGTCCAGAATTCCACATGCATTTGCATATATTTCTCACTGAATATCTCCAGGAATTTCAACTATTTGTCTTCTTGTCAGCTGTCAAACTCCTGTATGTCAGTCAAGGTCCAGCTTGCTTATTGAATACTCAGTTATGCCCTTCTAGGTGCTTCTTCTATGTCTGCATTCACTCATTGCTATGCCTAGTCATGTCTACACACCCCTTATAGAATCTCAGAGCTTTTGTAGTAGAAGACTCATGTCACCATTAGTCTGTGAGTAGTGTGCAGCCCTACCCATCACTTCCTATTGAACACCTGATACAGTGTCTAGTACATAAAAGGTGGGTACTTAAAATTCATTTGTGGAAAAATATTGGGAAGATGATACATGTTAACAGAATCATATATAACTCTACTGTGTTAATTGCATAAAATCTAATGATATTGATTTTGATGTTGCTTTTTTGCAGGATCAAGATGTGCACAAAGGTGACAATGGATGACTTCCTGACAGCTCATCATGAGATGGGGCATATTCAGTATGACATGGCATATTCCATCCAACCATACCTGCTAAGAAATGGAGCTAATGAAGGATTCCATGAAGCCGTGGGGGAAATCATGTCACTTTCAGCAGCAACCCCTAGCCACTTGAAAGCTCTTGGTCTTCTGCCACAGGATTTTGTTGAAGACAAAGGTATGGATAGTCTTTCATGGTTTGTTTTGGGAATTATTTAGTTTTGTACAGGCAATGGTGTCTATTTTTAGGTGTAAGATGTATCTATTTTTTTCGTGTAAAGTATGGGATCTCTGGAAACTGGTGACCATAACTGGTGAAAAATTTAAGTATTTATTTCTATATGCCTACATGTGATTTTGTGTCTTTGAAAAGAGCATAAGAAAGGTAGCAGTGGATGGTTTGGGGAATCTAAGGAACATCTAACAGATGCTGAAACAGGTTCACAGAATGGAAAAGAGCCATTGAAGATCTTCAATTAATTCGTGACAGGGTTCTGAGTAGACTCCTCTAGTTGTTATAAAATCTTCCCAAATTGTTAGAGCTGAAATAGATTTCAAAATCACACTTTGCAGGGCCTGAGCAATAGTACAGCAAGTAGGGCATTTGCCTTTCACGCAGTGGACTAAGATTTGATCCCTGGCACCCCATATAGTCCCCCAAGCCCACCAGAACTGATCCCTAAGGTCAAAGCCAGGAGCAATCTCAGAGAATAGCCAAGTATGGCCCCAAAAATGAAAAAAAAACCACAATTTTTAGAAATTCAAACCAAAGAAAGAATGTAACTAGCTTAGGTCAAAAGAGCAAGTTGGCCGAGTCAGAACTTGAGTCTTAACCCAAAGCTTTCCCCATAATAGGCAAATTCAAGTGCTACTTGAAATTTTGAAATTCTTAGAGAATAGACAGTGAAATATCAAGATAGTAAGGGACTAAAAAATTTTGTTCATGCTTCTTAAGCATGAATTTGTAACTAATACCCTGCAAGAGCTACACTACACTGTCTTTCAACATCTGAAAAACTGTTTCTCCTTGGATGGCTTAGACTTGATGGAACATATAACCACACCTGCTTCAGAATTTTGAAATATGACTCATCAAATAAATTAACCGTGACTTATTTTATCTCGTGAAATATTCTCTGACAGAAGACAGATATGGTTGAATCATGGTGACAGTACTAAAACAGGCTAAATCACTAGTTTGAAAAACTGCATATTCCGTTGGTTATACCCTTGCTCTGTGAATGATGTTCAACAACCAAAAATTATTTATTTCTTCTCTCTTATTCCTCCTGTTCTCTCTTTGGTTCCCCCCCCCAAAATGTATTGATTACATATTATGTTCAGGGAATGTTTTTAAAGATACTAGAGTACTGAAAAAGAGAGTAGAAAACTATCCCACTGCTTAGATTTCAGGAAGCTTTATTTGTAGACTAGAGATGAGCTCTACTGACTATTACATCACCAATAAAGGCGAATGAAATAGCCTAATTTAACATTTTACATTGTCCTTAAGGAAGATGTCCCTGCATTTACAGTACATTTTACTTCTGATTAGCCAGTAAGTGATTTCCTCTAGGGAAATGCTCTTTTCTTTGTTTTTCTCCCTCTAATTTACTGGCTTTGGGCAGCAACTGTTTGAAATATGTTCATTTAGCAAAGACTTACTCAAAACAGATGCTGGGATAGACATAGTCATGAATGAGACATTAACAATAACTGCATTCATGGAGTTTATAAGAATTAACAGTATTAATACAAAGAAGAACCCCTAACTCAATCTGATAAGAGGGATTTAAAGAAGCCAATTGAAACTATTGGGGAAAATGAGTGTGGGGGTTACTTGTAGATGTTTTTTACCTATTCAGTCCAATGCTTGACCCTACTCGTTTAGCTGAAAAAAATGAATGTATACTTTTTATTTTGTCCACTGCCAATATTTCTCATACAATCACCTCTATAATATCTTTGTTTTAGTGTGGGGGGCAGGGGACTCTCCTAGTGATTATCAGTCAACCAGGCAGTGTTTGAACGTGAGGACCTATGGAGGCTGTGCTGCCCCAGATGTGCAAACTGAGGATTATCGGGACCACCCTAATGAATCTTGATGCTAGGGAGAACCATTTGGTGCCAGGGTTTGAACTGGGATCAGTTACATGACAAGCATGTGCCCTAACCCTTGTATAATTACTCTGAACCCAGCTTACTATACTTATATAGCACTTTAGCACTGTCTTCTTGTCATTCATCAATTTGCTCCATTGTTCGAGTGGGCATCAGTAACATCTCCATTGTGAGACTTGTTGTTACTGTGTTTGGCATATCGAATACCCCATGGGTAGCTTGCCAGGCTCTGCCGTACAGGCGGGATACTCTCAATACCTTGCTGGGCTCTCTGAGAGGGATGGAGGGATTGAACCCGCATCAATCACATGCAAGGCAAACGTCCTACCCACTGTGCTATCTAGTAAGTGTATCTTGAGGAATAATATCCTGAGATTAGGAAATTACCAACAACAGAACATTCATTGTCATTCTCACATTTCCCTTTTCCTTTCAGAAACGGAAATAAACTTCCTACTCAAACAAGCACTTACGATTGTTGGAACTCTACCATTTACTTACATGTTAGAACAGTGGAGATGGAAGGCCTTCAGTAATGAAATTCCCAAAGACCAGTGGATGAAAAAGTGGTGGGAGATGAAGTAAGTCAATAAATATGAAATTGGTAAAGTGTTTTCTCATGAACGTGATGTTTATTTAAAAGTTTTTGGATGGCCTGTGTACACATGTGCATATGCACACCCAGAAAAATGCGGATTTGACATATCCTTGAAGAGCATTTAATATTTTTCAAAAATTTTACAAAATTATGTTTTTTAAGATCATATAAATATGGTGCCACAGAGAAATTATAAGGACTTTAACTGTATACTTTTGACCATGCAATGTTCTTTATTAGATTAGTGTTTTGAAGATACACCTTTTCCCAATGATACATATATATATATGAAATTAAATAGTAAGAGAGGATCACCATGACTTTATTCTGTAATTTTTTACATTGTTGCTATTCTACCTGACTGCCAATTTCAATATAAAAATCATTGGATGATGATAAACTGGACTAACCAAATCTAATCTTCTTTTTTTCCTCAAAGGCGAGAGATAGTTGGGGTGATGGAACCTTATACCCATGATGAAACATACTGTGACCCTGCATCTCTGTTCCATGTTGCTAATGATTACTCATTCATTCGGTAAATAACAATTTTTCTCACTATTAGATTTACAAATTCAGTTGTATTAATGGCAGAGAAATAAGCATGTATGAAGTAATGACTATTATTCCTCTAGCTCCATCTGCCTCACGTCCTCCACCTCAAGATAATTGGTTTCAATTAAGTTGAACTCAACACAATTTATTAGTTTAAATAAAACTTGTGTGATATCTTTTCCTTCATCTTCAAAGAACTAAGAGTAACCTTGGATGAAAAAAATTGTTGATTTTCTTATTAATGGTAGAGTATAGAGTGATTTGAATAGGCAGATTTAGCCTGAAGCCCCCAAACCTCATTTGTGTATTTGTTAACTTAAGATTTTGAATTTATTTAGGGTTCATTTCTTTATTTGTAAGATAGGAATAATATTTATTAAACTGTCATAGGGCTGGAGCGATAGCACAGCAGCAGGTGTTTGCCTTACACGTGGCCGGCCCGGCCGAGCCTGGTTCAATTCCTCAGCCTCTCTCGGAGAGCCCGGCAAGCTACCGAGAGAATCTTGCCCCCACGGCAAACCTGGCAAGCTCCCCGTGACGTATTCGATATGCCAGACACAGTAACAACAAGTCTCACAATGGAGACGTTACTGGGCCCGCTCGAGCAAATCGATGAACAACGGGAGGACAGTGCTACAGTCATAGGATTTATGGGAAACATTTATTTAATGGATGTATGATTGTAAAACGATACATATGTGAGTTAATGTTTATAAAATAGTAGTTCCTTTATATCAGTGGTTGTATAAATGCAAGTAGGTTATGATGAATCTATATGGTTTATGTTTGGGTCTTTCTAGGAAAGAGGCCTAACTAACATCATTTCGGTTACTTGAGCCTCAGAAAGTGCCCAATCTGTGACTCTGTCATTGTCTGAACATATGCCCCAATCTGTGACTCTGTCATTGTCTGAACATTGTCTGAAATTTTGTCCCTTTATCTCTTTTCCAGATATTACACAAGGACCATCTATCAATTCCAGTTTCAAGAAGCCCTTTGTAAACTAGCTAACCATAACGGTCCTCTGCACAAATGTGATATCACAAATTCTACCGAGGCTGGCAAGAAGTTGCAGTAAGAAATGCTTCAAAATGCTCACCCTCCCCCTCTTAGTCAATATTCCTCCTTCCTGTGTTTAGGTTTGATCTGATTTCTTCATTCGGAAACGAAAAAAAATATAGCCTCAAAATGTCCTTAGTCACAAATTAAATTGTTTTGAGATCACACAATTGAAGATATACCTTGTGTATACCACACACTTCCCTATACCATGTGATGGATTCATTGGCCATCTCCTCTTTCCATATCAAAACTGCAAAGCTCCCTTTGTAGTGACTGGAAGGGAAGAGGAACTGGAGAATGAATATATCTGTTTAAAATGCCTCGTTTTGGGCCAGGGCAATAGTACAGCTGGGAAGGTTGCTTGCCTTGTATAGGGCCAACCCAGGTTCAATCTCCAGTATCCCATAAGGTCTCAAGTCCACTGGGAATGATTCTGGAGTGCAGAGTCAGGAGTAAGCCCCAAGTATCTCTGGGTGTGACCCAAAAGCCAAAAAGAAAAGCTTTGTTTTCATAGATGAATTTTATTTGTACTTATCTACAATAGATGTACAGAGAAGCATTTTTATTTTTCACATCTAATTTAATGAAAAATTCAGATCAGAAATACCAGGCAGGGAAAAAAACAAGCAAAAACATCCTAAAGGTAAAGCTATTTAGAATGTTTATGGAAGTCCAGACTGTTGGCGAGTTATTTGCAAATGAAGGGTGAAAGAGGATGTAAAATGAGAGGTAGAGACGAGTCAGATTTGGGTGAGAGAATTAATGTGCCCCGAATTCTTATCTGCATTGAGCAAACTTAGCCCACCAACCCCCCCCCCCCTTTTCTTTATACAGTGAAATGCTGAAGCTAGGAAAATCGAAGCCCTGGACCGAAGCATTGAAGAGCGTGGTAGGATCCACCACTATGGATGTAAAACCACTGCTCAATTACTTTGAGCCCTTGTTTACTTGGCTGAAAGAGCAAAACAAGGATTCTCATGTGGGATGGAACTGTAGTCCACGTGAGTACCTAGAAATGATACGTTTCAAACCACTCTCTGTCCCGTCTTGGGAAGCTAGAACATAGTCCAGCAACTAACCCCAACCCTGCTCCTGCTCTTTGAAGACAAAGGTTTGAACTGTTTTAGTACACTATAACCTCTCCTGGCACTTGCCTTTATATTTCCTAACAGCTCATTTATTTCCTTATTGGTCAGTTTTAGATTTGCCCTTCTACCTGGTCTTTCACCTCCCTTTCTCAGCCTTCCAATAAAACTTTCTCATAACTTTTAACAAAAGAAATTATGGATCTTTCTATCAGTGTTACGCGTGCAAAGCTGAGTTTCACAGTATTTAAAATCCTTTCTTATGCAGCTTTTTGTATCTTAGCATTTCTATTGTCTTTTCTCTGTTTTTCTTACATGCTTAATTGTTTCTATATTCATTATTCCAACTTGCCTGTTTGTTTTGTTTTGTTTTGCAGAGCCAACGATGGAATCCAGGGTCTCATACATGATGCAAGGTTTGCATGCTACCACGGAGTTACATCTCAAACCCAACAGCTCTTTTCAGTCCCATTTCTCCCCTTAAAGGCTTTCATTAAAGGTTCTTCCTTTTGGCTCAATCTGGACAACAATTTTCACCACCTGACTATCTTCCTCGGTGAATTCTTTGCTTCCTGTAGTCCACATCTTCTTTTTTGGATTATCTTTTGTTTTCCTACAGCAAAGCCTGCGGACTGTTTAAGCAAAGAACATGTTGAGTGAGAGAATCAACTCTTGGCCAAAGTAGCTTTAATTAACTACCTTTTCATGTTTATCTTTGATTTTCAGCCCTTCTTTATTTCAGCGCAATGTCTTTCTATCGTCTAAACGCCAAGTCCCCCTGTGGTTCTCGGGCACCCTTGGGCCTCTTTTGCCTCCGCGACACTTTGATCATAATGTTCCTCCTCTTCTTAGGAAAGCACTTATTTCCTCCTCAGTGACTTCTTATTTGTCCAAAGGTTTATTATAACTTCAACATTTTTTTTCTCATTTAAATGGGGTCATGAATGGTGGAAAGGGATCTGTCATTTGTAACACTAGTCTTTGATTTCCCATTGATCAGGTAATGATGAAAGCATCAAAGTGAGGATAAGCCTAAAGAAAGCTCTTGGAGATGAAGCAGTGAGTATTATTGCCAGTGTGTCTGTATCCATTACTTCCCTATGTCCGGCCTTCCCTGGCACACAGGAAGTCCGTTCCAGTGTGGGTTAAGGAGGAAAGGCCACATACCATGTGATTGTCTTAATAAGAACTACGATCCTCAACTTCTTGGGGTTGAATAGATATTAATAAATATTAATAGATATTAATAGATAGTCTCCTAATTTGGATTGACTGTTTTTACTTTTTTGTTACAGTGAAGGTGTTATGGACACTAATGAGCAAACACTCAATTTTATTCTATTTTACGAATTTTTTGTTTGGGGGCCACACCCTGCAGTGCTCAGGGATTACTCCTGGCTTTGCACTCAGGAGTTACTCTTGGTGGTGCATGGGGGACCATATGGGATGCCCAGGTCAGCCACATGCAAGGTGAATGCTCTATACACTGTATTATATCACTCCAGCCCAAACACTCAATTTTATTTTTTACCACAATATCTGTATTTTATTTTATTTTCTTATTGAATCACTGTGAGTCTCAGTTACAAAACTTTCATGTTTGAGTTCAAGTCATACAAAGATTGAACACCCATCCCTCCACCAGTGCACATTTTCCACCACCAATGGCCCCAGTATCCTTCCCCCCTCCTGCCCCACCCCTCCCTCTGCTTCTATGGCAGACAATTTGCCTCTTTCTCTTTACTTATGGGCATTATGATTTGCAGTACAGATAATGAGAGGCCATGATGTTTGATCCTTTATCTATTTTCAGCACACATCTCCTATCCTGAGTGATTTCTCCAACCATTATTGACTTGGTGATCCTTTCTCTATCCCAGATGCCTTTTCCCCCAGCTCATAAAGCAGGCTTCCAACTTTGGAGTAATCTTTCTGGCCCTTGTGTCTACTTTCCTTGGGTATTAGTCTCCTATTATGATGTTTTATATTCCATAAATAAGTGCAGTCATTCTATGTCTGTCCCTCTTTCTCACTCATTTCACTTAGCATGATACTCTCCATGACTATCTGCTTATAAGCAAATCTCATGACTTCATCTTTCCTAACAGCTACATAGTATTCCATTGTGTGGATGTACCAAATCTCATGACTTCATCTTTCCTAAGAGACACATAGTATTCCATTGTGTGGATATACCATAGTTTCTTTAATCAGTAGTCTGTTCTTGGGCACTCGGGTTTTTTCCAGATTCTGGCTATTGTGAACAGTGCTGCAATGAACACACAGGTGTAGATATCATTTCTACTTTGCTTTTTTGTGCTCTCGGGATATATTCCCAGAAGTGGTATTGTGGGGTAAAATGGAAGCCCAATTTCTAGTTTTTTAAGGAATTCCCATATTGTTTTCCAAAAAAACTGAACCAGTTGGCATTCCCACCAACAATGAAAGAGAGTCCCTTTCTCCCCATATCCTTGCCAGCACTGGTTTTGTTCTTTTTGATGAAAACACTCAATTTTAAATACCCACTATCAACCCTCACAATTCATTCATCACTATTATTTGTATTCCAAGAAGATCTGGTTATATTTTTGATATACATTTTTAGCCATAATATAGACAATTTTATTTGATCATAATCAATTATCTATGTCCTTGAAACTCCTCTAAAATACAGAATCTTAAGAACCCCTCTCCTATCTTCCCTAAAACCTACTTAATCAGAATTTTCATTTTAAGATGCACCGCGGTGATTTTTCTAGACAATGAAGACTAGGCACTGTGATTTAGGGCACTGCCTCCCAAATTTGGCTACACGTTAGAGCCATATAAGATGTTTAAAAAACATTAATGCTGTTCCCCTTCCCAGAGTGTCTGTATTGCTCTGCACCATGGCATCAAGAGTTTAAAAGCCCGAGTGCTAAAGTTTGAGAAGCACTGATTTTTCTATGTGCTTTTGGGTCAAACCATGTTTTACAGAAAATCATGTTACTTACACCTCGTGTGTATTGCTTTAAGCTAGTGATTGCTTTCCCCTAAACACCTGTGTCAGGGTAGCCTGTATGAAGAAGTGATGGCTTTAATCGAGAGAGGAAAGGAGAGACTAGTTCCAGATAGGAGATCCGAGGGTAGGTGTGGCACCCTGAAAGCTTTGCAGGATTAGAGGACAGGTTGGTACCATTAGATAAGACAGTCCAAGGTGCTACAGAAAATTATTTGCATTGGATAGATCTAAAGATTGTATTTAACTCCCTTACTTTTCCTGGGAAGTTAAATATTATCCACGGCTCAACAGTAGTCATAGTGCAATTTTCATAGATAAGAAATTTAAATAAAAGTAATATGATAGAGTAGAAAAAGAAAAGAAAATGTATGAAAGAAATAATAGAGGGGCTGGAGCGATAGCACAATGGGTAGGGTGTTTGCCTTGCACGCGGCAGACCCGGGTTCGATTCCTAGCATCCCATATGGTCCCCCAAGCACCGCCAGCAGTAATTCCTGAGTGCATGAGCCAGGAGTAACCCCTGTGCAACGCCGGGTGTGACCGAAAAAGAAAAAAAAGAAAAATAATACAATTGAAGGTGTTTCATCTACCAAACTGTAAAAGTTATACTATTTCTTTTTTTTGTTCGTTTATCATTGCGAGCGCATCTGGCAGTGCCTAGACACTGCTCTGGCGCTGAGCTAAGGGTCCATTCCTCAAGGTGGTGGGGATTGAACTCCATTGCAAAGCATGCACGCTCACCCCCTGAACTATCCACCTGGCTTTCAGATTCCTTCCTCTTAACAACCTTGAGCATCTGTGAAATTCTTTTTCTGTCACTGTCCTTTCTTGGCCTGATACATTTTAATTACTTTCATTTCAAGGATATGGCAGATCGGGATACTTTCCAATTCTCTTCTTCTTTTTTGGCACTTGTCTCCAAATGCCTTTCCAAGCTCTGGCGGGTTGGCAAGGAGTCCTTAGAAGATCTACTGCTGTAACATTCTGAGGCCTCTGCCTGGCACCGCGCCTGTTCTGATGAGACCAGAACTAACAGCACAGCATCCTAGCAGGCCAGACTGTCTCCCTAACTCAAGCTAGTGTATACGGCAAAGTCCAGCTGGATCTTTGGTCTTCACTGAGTTTCAGATATAGAAGGAAGAGCCAACAGAAATATTGTTAGTTAACAGTGTAATAATAATATTATTCCTATCAAAGTCACTTTCCCCCCAAACCTGAATGATACCCAGCTGAAGCTAATATTAACAATTCCTTTGTACAGTGTTTGGAGGGTTTTTTCTAAAAGGGAAAGGAGAGGTAGAAAAAAAAACAAATGCGCGCCATTTGTCGATCTCTACTGCCAGCAACTGGAGGAAAGAATGATTGCATCCTTTCTTTTTTAACAAGTTTTTCATTGACTATGCAAAGACATAAGCTAGTTCAGCACTGAAAAGTGAAAAGAAATTACCCTGCGATTTGCGAACAATTATTTTCCTTTGAACCTCAAGTTTCTCTCTTCTTTTGCACGTATACACATCTGAAAACGTACTATTAAAATAGCAAGCACTCTGAATATTTGTCTATAATATACGGACATTTTAACCAAAACACACAACTCCCATGCCTCCCGTCATAAATCTGCCTCCAGTGTGACTCTGAAGGTAGAGCTTAGAACTCAGTGGAATGTGATGCTCATGAATAAGCAGGATCTTTGGAGTGTCAGAATATTTCAAATGAATGCTGATGGAACACGAGGTTATAAGTGCTCACTGGTCCCTACTGAATAATGTTTTACTTCTATCTTTGCAGTACAAATGGAATGAAAATGAAATGTACTTGTTCCAGTCATCTATTGCGTATGCCATGAGACAATATTTTTCAAAGATGAAAAATCAGACTATTCCCTTCGGGTGAGTGATTATGCTTTCCAGTGACTTCCCCCAGGGCTCTCTTTTGAATCTGAAAAAAATATGCTGTTTAAACTTTGATTCAAGTGAAGTTGAGAAAAATTTTCTGCTAACTTTTAAACTTCCTTATAATCTGGAATTTGGGGCTCTCCACTTAGGGATAATGGTGATTTTTTTGGTCATATTAAAGAGCACTATCCCCTCATCTCTGTCACTTCACCCTTACTCCCCAAATGGTGTCACCCATCCTCAACACTGAAAGGCAAAGCGAGAACCCCTGATTTCCTGGCATTTATATGTATATACGTGTGGGGTGTGTCTATTGTGTGGCATGTAATAATAAAAAATATAGGAATGAAATATAATCAAATTCGGTGATGAGAACTGCTGAGGAGAAAAACAATCCTACAGGTGAGAGGCTATGGAGTGCATAGTATAGTATAGGTGTGCATGACTGTGTGTGTAAGTTCAGTGTTAAGTCAAATCATCAGGAAAAGCCTCACTAATATTTGAGGGAGGGCAGAGAGCCACCAATGTGGGGAGGAATCTTCTAGTGGTGGGACAATAGCAGGAAAGACTCTGAAGCAGGAATATTCTGCTTTTATTTTTTTATATTTATTTATTGAATCACTGTGGGGAAAGTTACAAAGCTTTCAGGTTTAAGTCTCAGTTCTGCAATGATCAAATACATTTCCCTTCAACAGTACTTCTTTTTCACCACCAAGAACCCCAATAGGAATATTCTGCTTTTAAAGGAACAGCCAAAGAAGCCAGTGTGGTGTGAACAGAGTGGGCAAATAGCAAACAAGAAAGTGTCGTTAGGGTGGCACTGAGACAGGGGCAGGAAGGAGAAAAGGAGGTTCCTGAGAGCTCTCGAGTCAGTCAAGGGCTTTGACTATTGTTCTGAGAAGGACTCGGAGCCACGTGATCTGCCTTAGGTTTCAGTAGGATCACCATGACAGCACAACAGCAGTTCTTGTCACACGATTCTGCAGACCCTCGTCACTCAGCCATGGGTATACTATGACAATTTTTGCTGGGAAGGACAGGGTCAGAGGGTGTGAATGTGCCACCTTTCTCCATAGTTCTGAGCCATCAGTGTTCACCAGGTTGTTCATCATAGTTCTGCCTCTCCATGGAGAATCAGTGGCTTCTTGCTGATTCCCTGGTGCTTGGAAAACATTCTATCATTGGAAGAAACATGACTCTTATGTTGGCAGAACAATTATGCCAAGACATGCTATTGCATAGTTGAGTTTATGAGATTTGGGAAGTGGGAAGTTTGGTGGACAACGCCATCCTCCCATTGTTTATCTTGCCTTAAATCTCTCTACACCCCGCCACCAAGATTCTCCCCCTAGTCACCAGCAGAAGTCTCCATTTTCCTGACTGTGTCCTTTGTACAAGAAAGAAAACTATTTCTTTTGTTTCTTTACAGGGAGGACAATATTGTAGTGAGTAATATTAAACCAAGAATCTCCTTCACCTTCATGGTTACCTCACCTGCAAATGAATCAATCATCATTCCCAGAGCTGAAGTTGAAGAAGCCATCAGGTGACATATACTTTCAAACAAGCTATACTATGGCAAGGCCACTAACAACACAATGAAAACAATAATATTTACTATCTTCTCCTGTGTGCTAGCTACCGTTCTGAGTCATAAACAACTGGTGGTACATCTTGAAAACCTGGGTTTTAATTCCAGAAGGATCTCATATCAAGGAAACTGTCTTGGTTTGAGTTGTCTAGCTAAAGAGCCTTAGTAAAGGATTTGAATGTAAATAGTTCATTGGGAGATGATCTAACAAAGAAGTGTGGATAAAAGGTACAAAGAATAGAAGGAAGATCATAAATGGTATGTGCTTATCAAGTCTTCACCATGGGAAATTAAAGTTCCATTCTGCTGGATAGCACAGCGGTAGGGCGTTTGCCTTGCACGCGGCCAACATGGCCGACCCGAGTTCGATTCCTCCGCCCCTCTCGGAGAGCCCGGTAAGCTACGGAGAGTATTCGATATGCCAGACACAGTAACAACAAAGTCTCCAATGGAGACGTTACTGGGCCCGCTCGAGCAAATCGACGATCAACGGGAGGGCCTTTACCTTTTTACCTTTATATAGAAAATTCACAGATTTGAGCCAGCATACTAATTTATTCACCGGTCCCCATCAGTCATTGGTTGAAATTGCTTGCAGGTGACATTAATTTCTGCTACTTCTGGCCTGCAGATTGGGCAGGCTCTGTGGCTTGAGAACAACCTCAGGCAAAGGCAGCCTTTGCTGACAGAAGAAAGTCTGGTCAGGACACAGGGAAAGGATCGTGACAGAAGGGATGTGGGTGAATGTATTGCCATCACTTGCTATATGGACTTAGATGTAAGATTTATTTTACCAACCAAAGTTTGAAACATGATAGACCAGAATATGATTCCTTAGATGCAGTACATTCTCTGATTTGCCTTCAGGCATTTCCTGAAGTAGAAGAGTGAAGAATGGATGGTATCAATGGTTCCTCCTGTCCTTAAAAGAATTTAAGATTACCACCCAGAGGGCAAACTCACTAGATGGCTCTCTTGAGCTGTTTTGCATCCTGGGAAGCTGACTTAAGACACGCAGGGCAAGGTGTGCCTAGAAAATATGGTTTAGTTGGAGGTGTACAGTCCAAGCCCTCCCGATCCTCTCTGCCTCTGATGTCTGTGTTGAGGAACAATGCCAGCTGAGACCATGATGAAAGGGCCCAGCCCTCTGTAAGCCATAGAGGAGCTGGAACTTGCTGCTTCCAGAAGGACTTGAGGACTCTGACCTGACTTCCCTTTTCTCCTAAAGAATAGGGAGATGGCATGCCAGGTAGTTTGGCTGTCAATCCACAAAATTCTACATTTCACGATGATTGCTTTTATTTTTCAAGTAATCTTCATCTTTTCTTTCTATAAAAGTTGACCATATCACACCCCAGTGCCAGAGAATTCAGCTAAGGCCCTTTTCCTATGTTCTTCCGCAAGGCTGCCACAAAATGTCAACACCTTTTATTTCAAGAACGGAATGTATCCGTTGAGACTTGGGTATGGGCCCTGATTCACTTGAAGAAGAGGTGTATCCCATTGTCCTTGCCCATTATTTGATGTAAAGTCATGTGTACATACTCCAACAAAAGGGTCCTGCTTGTCCAATATGATGTGAACTTTACCTTTAGAGTATGGCAGGCACAAAAGAAAAAACGTTATCCAGTTGCATTTTTTCATACTCGGAGCCCAATTTTCCAAAGAAATTAGTACCAAACTCAAACTCAGTTGGAAGACTGTGAAGAGGGCAGGATCACCAAAACTCCTACTTTCCCCCATTTTTATATTTTAGTTGATTGATAAGTTACAATATTTATTTTGAACCTTTCTGTTTTTTACTGATTGATTTTTATTGGTTAACAATACTATAGAGTCTCAGGGCATAGCTTTACACTTCCGAATGTATATAGGACTCACTCTGCCAAATGCCACAGTTCCTTGCCTTCCTACAGTTCCTTGCCTTCCTACCGTGCAAGAGAGATCTCTACCTTTCTTTTCACCCTTGCTCTCCTTTCTTTCTTATAACCATCATAGCTTTCACCAAGTCTAGGAAAAATTTATCAAAAAATATAAAATTAGCATTGGTTTTAGAAGCTATAATTTTATGTATATTATAATTCAGAATACACTGCATTATGATCACTGCCAAAAATCTAATTTCCATTCACTACCATACAATTAACCCCCTTTGCCCTGATTGTAACTCCCTTCCCTTTCCCCTCTGATAATCACCAATTTTCATAATTTCTTATAATCTAAAACTTTCTTAAATTTAAATTTTTATTAAACAACAATAATTTAAAAGGTTTTTCATAGTTGAGTTTTAGGCATACAATATTCCAATACCAATCCCACCACCGGTGTCAGCTTCCTTCTACCAGTGTTCCCACGTCCCCACCCACCCTCCAGCCTGCCTCCTAGACAGGAGTTTGGGACCTGTTGTAGTATGGATCTCCTGCTTTCTGCTTTCAGTGTTGTTGACTCTGTGATATATATATATATCTCCATATATCTATATATACACATGCACAATGTTATATATAACATATATATCATGCATAACATACAATATATGTATATATAAAATCTCTATATATCACACACATATATAAAAATGATACAAATGCCATACTTATCTAATATTCAATTTAGAAATAAACGTAAATACTTTACCTTATATATGGGCTGGAGCGATAGCACAGCGGTAGGGCCTTTGCCTTGCACGCAGCCAACATGGCCGACCTGAGTTCAATTCCTCTGCCCCTCTCGGAGAGCTCGGCAAGCTACCGAGAGTATCTTGCCCGCATGGCAAAGCCTGGCAAGCTACTCGTGATGTATTCGATATGCCAAACACAGTAACAACAAAGTCTCCAATGGAGACGTTACTGGGCCCGCTCGAGCAAATCGATGATCAACGGGAGGGCCTTTACCTTACCTTTACCTTTATATATTATATACACACACACACACACACACATATATATCACCTCTACACCAACAATGTGCCTAAGTTCCCTTACTTCTGTTCCTATTTCCCCCAATCCACTTTATCTTACTCTGCCCACACTTGATTTTTCTCTGTCCTTCTCATTTCTATAATCTAAGGTCACGGATAATCTGGATGTATCCTCCATTTGCATTTCCTCATCCTGCTTTTTCTCGTCCTGTTATTCTATATACCACAGATATCTTCTGACCTGCTTCACTTAACATGCGATCCTCCAATTCCATCCAAGTTGCTGAAAACTTCATGCTTTTATGTTTCCTTGCAGCTGAATAATATTCCATTGTGTATATATGCCACGCCTTAATTGTTCACTCACCCGTCCTTCCTTGGACACCTAAGTTGATTCCATATCCTAGGTATTATGCAAAGTGCTGCAGTGAATAAGGGTGTGCTTGTGTCCTTTTGAATCAATGTTTGTTATGTCTTGAGGATAGATACCAAGAAGTGGAATTGCTGAGTCATATGGCAGTTCTGTTATTGCTTTTCTGAGAAATCTCCAGTGTGAGAATGGCACATATCAAAAAGATTGGGAACAACCTGTGTTGCTGTGGATGTGGTGTAAAAGGGACTGTCCTCCACTACTGGTGGGAATGTTGTCTGGTTCTATCCCTTTGGAAAAAAGAGTTTGTTTTTAAACTATCTTTCACTGGACCTGGTTATTTACCTTGACTGAATTGCTATTTTAGGTGGATATTCTTAGGATAAGCCTTATCAAATCCTTTCAGAAACAATGATGCAAGGAGTAAATAATCATTTTGCTCAAGCGGGCCCAGTAACGTCTCCATTTTGAGACTTGTTGTTACTGTGTTTGGCATATCAATACGTCACGGGTAGCTTGCCAGGCTTTGCAGTGCGAGCGAGATACTCTCGGTAGCTTGCTGGGCTCTCCAAGAGGGGCGGAGGAATTGAACCCGGGTCGATCCGGTCGGCCGCATGCAAGGCAAACAGCCCTACCGCTGTGCTATCGCTCCAGCCCAAAATAATCATACCTCATTGTATTTTGCCTAAGTGTCCCTTTTGCCTAAATGTTCTATTTTTTGGGAAATAGGATGTCCCGGGACCGTATCAACAAAGCCTTCCAGCTGGATGACAACACTTTGGAGTTTTTGGGGATTGAAACCACACTGGCACCCCCTTACAAGCCACCTGTCCTCATCTGGCTGATTATGTTTGGCATTGTAATGGCAATAGTAGTGATTGGTATTATCGTGCTGATCATCACCGGAATCAAAGAACGGAAGAAGTAAGTGATCTTTCCTAAACATATCTATCCTAAAACAGAAAGGTTTAGGACAAACTAACCAGAAGATATTCAGCAAGTAGTAGACTGTACAATCCATTCACTCATTGGAACATTTTTTCCGCCAAAATTTTCTGATTAATATTGCTAGACACTGACCGGATTTTGTTCACACTTTATCTTTCTGCAAGCTTCGTGCAGAGAAGATGTTCATCCTGGACTAACACTTTTTTAACCTTCAGAAATCAACTATTTTCATTGGGTTTATGTAATTAAGGTTAATAATATTTTATAACACCTAATCAACAGCTTCACACTTCAGGTTGCTTATCCATATTCTTTCTTAAATTTTCATATGCACTAGTCTGCTTTGTTCAATTTTCTTCACTATATTTTTAGTTCTCCAATATAGCTCATTTTAGAAAATAAGAGGGCTGGCTGGAGAGATGGGTACAGGGGTAAAGCATTTGACTTGCTTGCAACCAACCCCAGTTCAATCCCCAGAATCACATAGGGTCCCCTGAGCACTGCCAGGAGTGATCCCTGAACACTGAGTCAGGAATAAGCACTGAGCACTGCAAGGTGCAACATCCACCAAAAAAAGAGAAAAAGAATTGACCATAATTCAATGTAATATGAAATATTATCAATATTTTTAGATAGAAAAGGATACTCAGAGTCTTCCTGTTTCCTTTTGCCACCAAGTTCCTTTCCCAAGCCAATCAAAGCAATCAGTTTCTTGGATATCCATTGAATCAGAACCCAAATATTAGTAAGACCCCCTGGGTGATTTGCGTACCCATTATACTTTTGAGAAGTGTTCTTCTATACAATAAAAATTAGTACAGGAGATACTGTTCCAAAGTGATTTTGAGAAGTGTTCTTCTATACAATAAAAATTAGTACAGGAGATACTGTTCCAAAGTGAATTCATTAAACAAATTATCTGGGACCCCCTCCTTCATATGTATGTTAATATAACAGACATACAGTATGCCATACAGTATGTTAAAAGAAAATCTATAGAAAAGTAGTCCTGGATAACTCTGCTCAGTGCTTAAGACATTAATGCTTCCAGCAAATAAATGTTGCATGTTATCTACATGGATATATAAAAATGAGATTCAGGGAGACCAAGCAAATATCTTCCTCAAGTTTATATAGCTCATCGGTTACAGATTGGGGTATTTATACGCAATTTTCTGGCTCTGACTCAGGAGTTACTCCCGTGCTTAGAGAACCATATGGGATGCCAAGGATAGAACCCAGGTTGACACAGCAAACCCCCTACCCATTGTACTATCTCTCAGGCTCTTTTACCCAATTTTCAAAGCTGAATGTTGTACCACAAAGCTGACCTATCCTGATCTTTACATTGTGGAAGTTAATAACTTAGAAGAGAATCATTATTAAGGTAATAATAATGGTTAACATTTATTGAGGATCATATTCCAGCTACCATGGAAACTCTGCTGGCATTATTTTACTGCTTCGTATAATTGCCATCATTTTCCAAATAGGCAAACTAAGACATAGAGGCCCCCTTTATCTGATTCCAGAGTCCATATCACTGACCAGTTTCCCATTCTATGCCAGGCAGAACGTTAACCAGATATGAGCCTGTGAAATATAGCTAACGCCCTCCAGGTGTTGATTGTTCATTAACAGGGCAGAGAGGCAGAACCAATGATGTGATTAGATAGAAGAGATGCCTGGGCCAAAGTGATATTCTATCCTCACCATGTTAAGATGATTTCTCTTTTTTTGACAGGAAAAGTGAAGTTGAAGCTGAAGAAAATCCTTATGACCTCACAGAATGTACTATAAGAGATAATACTTCAAATACCCAAAGTAGTGACGCTGCTCAGACGTCATTTTAGAAAATCTGTTTTAGTTCCTCTTGAGGTGATTTTTGTTATACATGAATTTAGTCTGTGGCATAAAAATATTATAAACATATTATTAAATATCTACACGATGACTCTGCTCAGTACTTCTTGTCGAGAGAAGACCGGTCCAAAGAGAGAGCTTCTCACTAGCAATATTTTCAGTATTTATATCCGTGTCATGATTTAACTTCCCATCTGTTTCCTAAAAGAGCTGTTTATATTGAAGTGTGTCTTTGGCTTCAGAGGCCATTCAGCGGTAATGTCTGTTGCATGGCTGGAAGTGGGGTGGGGGAGGGTACATCATGAGAGCTAATGTTGGGGTCTTGTGTGAAATCTGAATGGGTCACGGTCACAGTCACAGTCCTCCTGTTGTTCATCGATTTGCTCGAGCGGGCCCAGTAACGTCTCCATTTTGAGACTTGTTGTTACTGTGTTTGACATATTGAATACGTCACGGGTAGCTTGCCAGGCTCTGCCATGCGGGTCACTTTTAAAATTTTTTTTTTCTTTTTGGGTCACACCCGGTGTTTCTCAGGGGTTTCTCCTGGCTTTGCACTCAAGAATTACTCCTGGCAGTGCTCAGGGGACCATATGGGATGCCAAGGATCCAATCTGGGTTGGCCGCATGCGAGACAAATGCACTACCTACAGTACTATTGCTCCGGTCCCTGGATGCGTTCTTTTAAGGAAGGTGCGCGACATCTAGTAGAGCCACAGGAATTGAGAAAGACACACATTGTCCACGTTAATTCATTTGCTTATCAGGGGTGACACACTTCCTTCACCTTCACTTAACCACTGTAGTGATTTTCCCATGATGCTTGTTGGACTATCCGCAGGGGCCTCCGTGAGCCTGATAGTCTCTCACACTGTTGTCTGGGTATGGGGAGAAGGAAATCCTGACTGAATACCACCCTCGGAAGTGGGCACCTAATCTCCTGAACCTTAAGTATTCACGTACAGTGTCCCAGTAGTTCTGAGCACAATGCAGACACCAGGTTGTCCCCATCCTGCCTGCTTCCACACTGGCGGTTCTGCAGATTCTGACTATTCATCACTCCCAACAACATCGTATCTGACTGATCCCCCAAATACCTGGGAATGTATTCCAGTTTCTTAAATTGCTTTCTTATATACAAAACAACGGACAGTAAAAGCATTTTTTTAATTTATTTTTAATGAGAGCCCGGCAAGCTACCGAGAGTATTCGATATGCCAGACACAGTAACAACAAAGTCTCCAATGGAGACGTTACTGGGCCCGCTCGAGCAAATCGACGATCAACGGGAGGGCCTTTACCTTTACCTATCTATTTATTTTTTGCCTTTTTGGGTCACACCTGGCAATACACAGGGGTTACTCCTGGCTCTGCACTCAGGAATTATTCCTGGTGGTGCTCAGGGGACCATATGGGATGCTGGGAATCGAACCCAGGTTGGCCGCGTGCAAGGCAAACGCTCTACCCTCTGTGCTATCACTCCAGCCCCTAATAGCAGTTTTGAAAGTTCCATAGGGTTGCTAGACACCATCAGGTTAGAACCAAGCCCTATCCTGCTTTCCCATATCTCAAGATCCCCGCCCTGAGGGTGTTAAGGGTCTGTAAGGCAGGACTTGGGCAGGCAGAAAAGATAGGCACCCCCTCTTGACTTGGAACTATTGAGTAGAAATTATAGAACTTGTTCTTTTGGGTAGGAAAGAATCCAGCATTTATTATATGCTGAATAAGTGATTGCTGAAAGCTCCTGTGGTTATTTTTAAAGTTCCATTTCATTCAAAATTGAAATTTTTGTACCTTTTTGAGAAACAGAGCAATCCTTTCATAATTCAGTTCTTTTGAGTAGAAAGGAATCATTATTTCCATGTCAAGGAACAACCAAAAGATCTGAGAAAGAATAGGGGGAGAGGTGTCTCTTGAGAGGAATTATCTCTTTGATTCAGAAAACTGTAGCAGGGCTTCATTAGGGTGTCTTTTTATTGCAACGGTGCCTGACACATTAACCTTTCTCTGTCCCTTTAGGCAGTATAGATGTGATAAGGGAGCATTGCAAAAGAGATTCAAACCTATGGGTTCATCAGCTGGTCACGGAGGAAGGCATTCCTAAGAACACTTTCAAAGCTAATGAACCTTATAGCAGTAGCCATGGAAAGCTAAAATTGCACTGCTGTATCTTTATGGAAAGATAGAGGACTTAAAAAGAAACTTTAGTTATCAAACTCACCTGAAGTCCCAGTGCCTCCCCACCCCACCACAAATCACTCTAAATGTCTAGAAAGTAATGCTATTTTCGTTTCCTGATAGAAGACCATGATTACACAAATCGGGATTGATAATCATTACTGTTAAGGGAAAGGTATCTAATTATATCTTATCTTCCTTTATTTTATTTTATTTTATTGTTGTATTTGGATCACACCTTACTTGGGAGTCCATGTGGTGCTAAGAATGAAACCAGGGCTCCTCTGTGCAAAGCCTATTGAACTATGTCTCTGGTTCCGTAACATCTTTTTTTTTAATTGAATCACCATGAGATACACAATTACAAAACTGTTCATGCTCAGGTTTCATTCATACAATATTCCAACACCCATCCCTCCCCCTGTGTACATTTCCCACCACCAATGTCCTCAGTTTCCCTCTCCCAATCCCCCAATCCCAACTAAGAACTACATGCTGAAAGTAGGTAAAGGAAGAAACATGAAAACCTCTCAGACTGTCTGCAAGCCATAATGCTCTTAACATCTTTTAAAATTTATTCTCTGACCTAGCTTGGTGTGCTCTCTGGGCACCACCAGTTGTGGTTCCCAAATCACAGCCAAATAAAATAGAATAAAATTTTCTCTCCATGAAACAAAGTTAGTATATGACTGAATTTGTTTTCTTTTGTTTGAGGGCCACACCTAGCGGTTCTCAGGACTTATTCCTAGCTCTGGTCTCAGGGATCACTCCTGGCAGGGCTCAGGGGAATGATATGTGGTGCTTGGAATCAAACCCAGATGAGCCGCATGCAAGACAAGTGTCCTACCCACTGAAAGGTCACTCCAGCCCCTTATTAAGTATCATTATTTAATTCTAGACTGCTATTTGTGTACAAACGTGAGAACACAGGGTCATTGTTCTCATCTGGATATCGGATAAGAACTGGGTCACGTGGAGTGAATAATAGACAACTGATGCCCACCACATATTGAGCCCCTCTCCCCACCCCAGGCACTTTGGACTAGCTACCTCAGCAATATCTGAGAGCTTGTTAAAAACACAACTTCTCAGGGTGCGCTCAGATCTGCTTTTTCAGAATCTTTGGAGTAGTTCCTAAGTCTAGGTTTTATTAAACTCTCCATTTGATCCCAATGCATGCTAAAGCCTAACACCACTGAAACAGGAAAGTCAAGTCCACATTTTCTGTACTTGTTAATAGCATTGTTAATTATCATGGAGGTGAAACAATAAGGAAAAAAGAAGAAATATCCCACAAATATTTCTGTTTGGTTTAGTTGTTACACACGGCACATACCCTCTCTATATTGCAATCAGAAGTGTGTTTTTGCTATAGGCTGAGAAATGTACTATTAAGAGCAGCATAAACAAAATTTACTAATTTGACCTCCATTCAAGGAAATATTTTGTTTCCTACCTTGGCCATTTCTAGATACTATAATAAACAAACAACACTCAGAATACAATTAAGATGAACAAACTAAATTGCATCATCTGTGCCTTGCTACATTCCTTCAAAAGGATGAAAATGTTGGCCAACACTTGATATTCACTCTCATCAGATCTCCTAATTTCTTCTTCAAGGCTTATCTTTCTCCTGAAGATTTTCAATGGAAGACAGCAGTTGCTGAAATGTGGGCCGTTTTTCTGGATGCTAAATGAAAGAAAAACAATGGTTGAATTTATGATTATTATTAGTTCAAATCACATAAATAGTTGCATCTCAATCCTAAAGCTAGCAACTTTTTAAATTTTTTTTAAATTTTTATTAGTGAGACACCATGAGGTACAGTTGTAGATTTACAAATTTTGTGCTTTAGTTTCAATTATACAATGATCAAATACTCATCCCTCCACCAGTGCCCATTTCCCACCACCATGGATCCCAGTATTCCTCCCCCCACCCCCCATCTCACCCTGCCTCTGTGACAGGGCATTCCCCTCTGTTCTCTCTCTCCTTTTGGGTGTTGTGGTTTGCAAAAGAGGCATTGAGTGGCAACCATGTTTGGTCTATAGTCTACTTTCAGCATGCTTCTCCCATCCTGGGAGGATTCTCCCAACACCCTCCACAAGAAGAAAACATGCAACCACATCAAAAAATGGGGCGATAAAATGAACAGAAACTTTCTCAAAGAAGAAATCTTAATGGCTAAAAGGCACATGAGAAAATGCTCCACATCATTAATTATCAGGGAGCTGCAGATTAAAACCACAATGAGATATCATTTCACACCACAGAGACTGGCCCACATCCACAAGAACAAAAGCAACTTTTTTTAATGTAGAAAGACGACTGACATTTTCTACTGAAGAGATAACAATAAGAGCCCTAAAAATGAGAAAAGGGGAAGTATATTTCCATAATATCTGACTACTACATGGAAAAACCAAAAGAAGAACATAAAGTCAAACCAAATGATAAAGGAATTCCTCAAAGGAGTGATAGAGAAAAGTTACAAACAAAATTAACAACCTTTATATGTATACACTATATCCAATTAGCAGGTGTCATGAGAAAGAAAGCCCCACCTCAATCGGAACAAGGATGGGGGTGTGGCTTAGCAGTAGTGTACATACCTTGCTTGTTGTGAGGCCATGGGTTTGAGCCCTGATACTACATGTAAAATTGCAACAACACTTAAAATAAGATGTTAGTCAGAATGTTCCTTAATGGTCAGGGAGATAGTATAGGGGTTAAGGCTCTTGCCTTGCCCACTTGGTTTGATCCCCAGCACCTCATGCTTGCTTGAACACAACTTGATATGGGCCACCCACCTCTTCCTGACAAAATACAACTTTAAGATGAAGTCTTCTTGCACTGTTCACAATAGCCAAAATCTGGAAACAACCCAAGGGCCCTACAACAGTTGACTGGTTAAAGAAACTGTGGTACATCTACACAATGGAATACTATGCAGCTGTCAGGAGAGATGAAGTCATGAACTTTGCTTATAAATGGATAAACATGGAGAGTATCATGCTAAATGAAATGAGTCAGAAAGAGAGGGGCAGACATAGAAGAACTGCACTCATTTGTGGAGAATAGAACAACATAACATGAGGCTGACACCTAAGAATAGTAGATACATGGGGCAGATAGATTGCTCCATAGCTGGAAGCCTACCTCATGAGCAAAGGGGAGAAGGCAGCTGGAATAGAGATGGGCTCACTAAGAAAAAGATGGCTGGAGGAATCGGTCAGGATGGGAGATGTGTGCAGAAAGTAGATAAAGGACCAAACATGATGACCTCTCAGGGTCTGTATTGCAAACCATAATGCCCAAAAGTAGAGAGAGATTATGGGGAATCATGTCTTCCATGGAGGCAAGGGGAGGGTGGGAAAGGGGGGTATACTGGGGATATTGGTGGTGGGGGATGTGCACTGGTGGAGGGATGGGTGTTTGATCATTGTGTGATTGTAACCCAGACAAGAAAGCTTGTAACTATCTCACGGTGATTCAATAAAATTTTTAAAAAAGATGAAGTCTGCTTAAAAACATAACTGAAAAGTACAAATTGTGGACTTGAACACAGAGACAAACACTGCTTGTTCATGAACAGGAAAAAAATAAATGATTTAGAAGAGACCACATTTCCCAAACTCAGAGGTAAACTAAATAAAATTGCCTCTAATATACAAACAAACTAAACAAGCTGAACAAATTGATTCTCTGGCTTATAAAAAATTCTATTATGCAAAAATTTGGGGGAGAATAGGAAGAACTATGTGGTTGAGAGTATTAGCTTACCTAATACTTCCTGACACACAGTAGAATGTCTCTACCATCTCATCAGGGCTGTGCTAGCAAAGAGCAGAGAGACCAGGGTGCAGAAGAGGAAGTCAGTCCCCAAATAAACCCAGACACATCCCTATACCAGTGGTGGCACTCAAGTCACCCATGCTGTGGGCATGATGGAAAAAGTCATCTCTGTCAACAGTCTATAACCAGTTTGGACCCGCCCTAGCCACTCTGGGAGCTTGTAGCACTTCAAACACTACATTAGAGGCAGAAAAGGGCACCATTAACTCTTAAGAGGCCGGAGTGATGGTACAGCAGGTAGGGCGCTTGCCTTCCATGCAGTTAACCCAGGTTCCATCCCTGGCATTCCATATACTCCCTTATATAGTCAGGAATGACTCCTGAGAGCAGAGCTAGGAGTAAGCCCTGATCACCCCTGACTGTGGCCCAGATGAAAAAGAAAATGAAGGGGTCACCTTTAGTAGGACTCCAAGTGCTGAAGTGTAGGAAATCTCAAAGTGCTCATTTTCCAGGAGCTAATTTCAGGCTAGAGGAGAAACTGGTCTAGTATGTGATGGAGCCAGCAAGTCTTCCAAGGCAACAACAGAGGAGCTTAGGAAGTCAGTAGGTTCTGGGAAACAATTTGTTCCTAGCTCCTAGCAGAGTGACTTGTAAATATGTACATAACAACCAGCACCGAGAACACTTAGTGTTTACCAAACACCGCCTTAAGAACTAGAGAGCTGTCATTCAATCCAGATAATAGTCATGGGAAGTATATCAGCTAAGTACTGTTAGAGTGAAGAACAGAGATGTTAGGAGGCTTGTACATGGTCACACAACTAGTACTCAATGCAGATCTTCTGGCTCCAGAAGCCACTGCTTGGTTACAACTATGAGTCTCTCACTGGTGAGTGAATGAAATCTGAATGTATGAAAGCATGAGTGCAGCATTAAGCCCTTTGGTGAACAAGGAAGAACCTTAGAAAGTCTAGGAATAACGGGCTATTACATTAAGGTTCTTACCTGGGGCACCAGCTCAAAGGCTGACAGTGCTTAGTTTAATCTCTCTGCTCATGGCCCCCTCAACACACTGTTTAGCCCTGGTGGCCCCAGCACCAGTGGTCCTGAGAACTGAATAATCAGGCCCACACAATAGGGTTGAGCATCACCGGAATGGCTTAAGCACTGTCTGTTATCCTCCCACATTAAATGAAAGTTCCCTATTATCACATCTCTGTCAAAAGGTTTTAATGACTCCCTGTAAGAAATGATTCACCCACTCTGTTTCTTTTCAGTCAGCCTGAAGATCTGGACTAACTTCCAGCCTCCCCAGCAACAACTAGAGTCAAGTGTGCCACGTTAAGTCTTGCTTCCATGCCTGTGCTCATGCCAGTGCTATCCTCTGGACCCCCTTAGCCAGGGTCTGCACTCTACTGCCAAAGATGTTGGGCCCAGGTTCCCTGCCTCACTCAGACAACAAGGCATTCACAAAGTTGGTCCCTCCTCCTCTGAGCTCTTCCTGTTCTTGTCAATGCTTCTCATTTGGAAGTATAATTATAGTCAGTCCAACTATGTGTGTGTGTGTGTGTGAGAGAGAGAGAGAGAGAGAAGGATGGAGGAGGAGAGGGAGAGAGACTGCATTTGGCAAGAGCAGAGTTATCCCCCTTAGTTCTACGAACTCGGTAGCTACTTTGCAAAAGCAACCTTCCTTTCTTTCTTCCTTCCTTCTTCCTTTCTTTCTTCCTTCCTTTCTTCCCTTTCTCTTTCTTTCTCTTTCTCTCTTTATCTTTCTTTCTTCTTTATCGTTCTCTCATTCTTTTCCTTTCTTTCTTTCTTTCTTTCCCAAAATCAACCAAGCACTAGCACCTGAAAATCACGTGTTCATTCTTTGAGTCACATCTCTGGCTCTAATCCCCAGCGATTCTGATCCATGCTTCCCCCATAAGAGACTTTTAACATCTACCTGCGTGAACTTCTATTCAGTAACAAGGACAGAAGGGTGTTCGTTCTGTATATATACACGAGTTTCCATATTCTCTCTTGCACCTTTTCTGCTTGCAGAGAGACTCCCATAGGCTATTGTTAAGAACAGCAACTCATGTCCTAGCCAGCCTGCTTCTTTTAGTTCTATGACTTTGGGCCATTTACTTAACATCTATGGGCCTTTTCTCAGCTCATTTTAGCCATTATCTGGACTTGCATTAGAGTGCCCTGATGACAAAAATGAGCCGTAGTCAAACAGTTCTTAGAACCATGTTGGACATAAGTTGTTCAGTTATTGGCACCTCCAAACACTTGACGACTGGCTCCAGGGACCATGTCTCCTGATTCTGCATTTGATGCTGCCCTTCCCAGTGGTAATGCGGCCCCCTCCCCCAGGCACCTGGCACCCCCTCTGCTTTGCCAGGTGCTGCACTTGCCTCATGCCAACAGCTGTACATGATCTGGTAGATGGTGTCCGAGGCCAGTTGGGGCCGGTACAGTCTGTGGCCCTGGGTGACCTTCACCACCACCTGGGAGTTGTCGTACAAGTCGTAGGGCTGCTTCCCCAGAGTGAACACTTCCCACATCAGGATCCCTGTGCCACGCAGAGGGGCAGCAGCGAGAAAAAAGGAGAGAGAGCCATGTCAGAAGGGGGCATTGATGATGACAGTCACACACCTGGTCGGGAGGGGCAAGGGACCAAAAGAGGGAAAAAGACAGGGTAGTGGTGGGCCTACACGCACTTCCGGAGCCAGGGTCTCCTCCTGGGTTACTTGAGACCTCAATGGCTCTTCTTACTGGTTACTAGGTGAATAGGAAGGGCAACTCCAGAGAGAGCTACTGTATGGGGTCGAAGTTCACGGGGTGATTGGGACCGAGAGTGGGGCCCTGGTTCCGTGTGACGGGGACCTCCCGTCCCAGTCCTCCCTCGGGGCAGATTGAAGTTTTTGACCTTTGTGGCACAGCAGTGTTGTGCAACAAGCTGATTTGGACGATGAAATTGCCTTTCAATGGAAAGTTAAAGGGAAATTATTGCCAAGGTTCTGTTTTATTACCATGGTAGTATTTTGTGGGCCAGATATCCTTTTAAGAACTGAATAAAAGGGGCCACAGCGATAGTGCAGCTGGGAGGGAGTTTGCCTCGCATGCAGCTGCCATCCCCAGCATCTTATATGGTCCCCCAAGAACCTCCAGGAGTAATTCCTGAATACAGAGCCAGGAGAAAACTCTGAGCATTGTTGGGTGTGACTATGCCCTCCCCACCCCATCCCCCAAAAAAGGCCAAAAAAAAAGAACTGGATTAAAACCACTGACTCCTCCTTATGGAGATGAACAGTGATTGGGTGTTTGACATCTGGGAGGCCACAGTCCCCTAGTCCAGGGATACTGGACTCAAGGTAAAGAGACAAAGTGCTCTTCCTCATGCCAGTCAAGAGGGGGACATTCAGGGGTCAGTCAGATCTCTTGCATGCATAGCCTGGGCAGCTCTTTTTTCCGGATTTAATTTTAGGACTGATTTACAATATTGATAATGGCAGGGATTCATGTGAAAAACATTGCAACACCACACCCTCCACCAGCATCAGTTTCCCTTCAAAACTCTCTTTAGAAAAGACATTTGGGAAACTCTTTGAACAGCTCTTCACTCAGATTCCCAGTGTAGTAAACTATGTAGAGATTTTCACAGAGTTGTCTTTCAGAATCAATAGAATAAAACTCAAAGAGTGCCAGATTATTTAAATCACACGATGGCCCTTGGCTAAAGCAGCAGATTTCAGCAGTCAGCTTCAAACACCTGGAAAACCAGGAGCATATACAAAAAGAAGAAACTTGTTCTAGAACTGCGAAATCCAAACTAACGTCATTGAATCTTAGGGCTGCAAATTTTATGTGAAATCTTTACAGTAGGGCAACACAATATGTTGTTATGTCTTCATTTAAAAATAAACATTTCAGGGCCAGAGTTATGATTCAGCGGGAGAGCAAATGTCCCCCATGTGTGAGGCCCTGGGTTCAATCCCCAGTACTGCAAATAAAGCCCTACATACTGGGGGCTCGAGCGATAGCACAGTGGGTAGGGTGTTTGCCTTGCATGCGGCCATCCCGGTTTCCATTCCCTCATCCCTCTCAGAGAGCCCAGCAAGCTACCGAGAGTATCCTGCCCACACGGCAAGCTACCGTGGTGTATTCAATAAGCCAAAAACAGTAAGAACAAGTCTCTCAATGGAGATGTTGCTGGTGCCCTCTCAAGCAAATCAATCAACAACGGGAGGACAGTACTACAGTGCTATCTTGGTTGGAGTCCTTAAGAATTGCTCTGGTTTGTTTTGCACAGCCTCTCTCCAGTGAGTTTTGGGGCAAATATTAAGAACAGATGCAGTTTGGGGAAGCATCCAGGAAGTACCTGGAGCCATGTGGTATGGCAGGGAGTGAGGAGCAAGCTGGGGAGTGCAATATTTTACCCCAAGTGAGCTGTAGCTACTGAAGATACTGATTCTTAAAAATAACTTTCATCAGGTATAGCAATTGATATAAAGTGATTGAAACCAAGTTTGGCAAATTAAACTGCGCGAATGACATCAAGAATTCACCAGAATGCTCTTTCTTTGATATCCCCTTTCCTATTAATCTTGGATTTCCTTTTTTTTAGTTTTTTTATTTTTGCAGGAGGCAGTTGGGGAGAGGCATATCCGGCAGTGCTCAAGGCTGGCTCTGTGTTTAGGGATCACTGCTGGTGGGCTCAGGGGACAATATGAGGTGCCAGGGACTGAACCCGGGTCAGCCATGTGCTAGGAAAGTGCTCGTCCTACTGTACTATCGCTCTGGCCTTGCATTAAGGGGGCTGAAGAGATAGTACAATGGGTCTCACGCTTTCCTTGCATACAGCCGACCCGGCATTCACTGCCAGCACCCCATATGATTCACTGGGTCCTTCCATCAGTGATCCCTGAGTGCAGAGCCAGAAGTAAGCCCCAAGTACCACTTGGAGTGGCTCCAAAAATTCAGACAAAAAATTTAAATTTGAGATATAAAACTAAATGGCTAACTATTTTTCTGCTTTTGCCAATAGTCTTATGGGTTTTGTATAGAAAGTTAAATTATGCTTATTGAGCAAGGCAGGCATGAAATAGGTCTCAATTGTATTTAATGTCTTCTACATCTGGATGAGCATTTGGAAAACTCATCCTGGACCCAGCTGATATTGACTGTAAACAGGCCTGACATTCCTCACTAAGGAAAAAAACAGCTAAAGACCTATAAAATCGTAACTGAATAATAATTTTTGCTTTCTAATTACCTTTCCTAAATTTTCATACAGACCTTTCAATAAAATAAGGCTCATAAAACTCTTTCTGTAGAGAAATACATAGTGCGTTAAGCTTTGTGATGTGTTATGCAGTATCTGGATACTGCTGTGTTTTTGCAGCACAAAGTCAGCCACAGATCCTGTATACAGTGAGGGGGGTGGAAGGATTGCAATCAAACCCTATAGTAACAGGCCATGGGACTTGATCCTGGGCTATGATTTACTGATCCCCTCATCTAAGTGTGGGTCTTAACGAAGACACTGGTTGAAGTTGATGGGGGCCAAAGAAATGTGTGGTACTGGTGTATACACCAGGCAGGTGCAAAGCATCCACCGAGAAGGGACTGACTCTCACCACTAGCTTCAGAGAGAGCTTACAGGCTTCATTTTCAGTCCTTGGGTGCTTTAGATATCATGGAAAACTTGGTTTTCTCTTTCAATGACCCCTTTTTTTGAAAACTCTTTAGAGTCTTCCATGAAAAGCTTTCAGTCCCGTTGGTTTTTGGGAGAAGGTGCTAGCAAGATGAGATAACACAAAAGGTGGCAGACATCAAGTGAGTGGCCAAGGAAAGGTCTTCAACATTGTGGATCCCTTGCTTGTCTCAGGCAATAAAAGTAATGTTGTAAGCACAAGAGACTTTTGCTACCAAAGGATGTTGCTGCATTTGTGGTTTCCTGTTGTAGAAACGAGCTTAAGAAACAGCCTTGGTCCCGTGAGGTCACATTCTTACCGAATGCCCATACGTCCGACTTGCTGCTGTATTTGAAGTAGTGAAACACCTCCGGGGCTGACCACTTGACTGGAAATTTTGTTCCTACTGAGCTGACATACTGGTCATCAAGAACATACCTGTGAGGGGAAATCAAAAGACCTTAAGTCACCTGGTTGTGCATAATGGGAGGAGCTTGGAAGCCCTCCCCCCCCCCCCATTTCGCTGCAGAGATTCCAGCTGAAGGCCTTTGGGCCATCCAGTCTCAGTCAAATTCTTGGGTCTTCTGGAGGCCCCCTGTGCACCTCTGGGGTGGCCCTGATGATCCCTCGCACCACAGGGTCTTAGCAGGGCTGCATGCTCAGGTCCTTGCATTTAACTGCTAATCTGGTTGGTCAAATATTGGTGGGAGAGGCCCCCAGACCTTCTGAGCTCCACATGGGAAGAACTTATCGCCAAAAATAAAATATGTAACCTTGGAAACACCAAAGTCTAAGCGCAGAATAGTGGGTCAATACAGAAAACACAGAAATGTAAAAATGAAATCAAGATGTTTCAAGGACCAAGGAAAGTCACAAGCATCCGAATGATGTGAAGACAGAGCTGTGTGACCAACATGGCCTATGCAAGGCTTCCAAGATTCCTTATTCAGACGAAGACCATGTCTCCCTTTTCCTAAGCTATCAAGGCATTATTTCTTCTTTGAGAACAGGGTGTGCTTCTACCTCCTAGTCCTGGACACTTCTCCTTTCCCTAAGTAGCTGTGAGCAGCACTTCCTTGTGTGCTTAATAGTTACATGTTTGGAGTGTTGATATAGATGACCACTTATATTGGTGTGATGCCCTGCCAACATTGAAGGGTCCTAGAAGAGAACTACTTCCTGATCATGAAGTTTGGAATATGTGTGTGTGTGTGTGTGTGTGTGTGTGTGTATTGGGGCTGGAGCCATAGTACAGCAGGGAGGTCGTTTAACTTGCATGCGGCCAACCCGAGTTCAATCCCCAGCATCTCATATGGTCCCCCAAGCACTGCCAGGAGTAATTTCTGTGTGCAGAACTAGGAGTAACCCCTGAGCATGAGCATTTCTGGGTGTGAACCCCCCACAAAAAAAGAAAAAATATATGTGGAGTTTCAAAACCACGTTTTCCAAATACTGGATTAGCCTTGGTCAACCCTCCACATTTCTTTGAAGCGGCATTATTCCTCCTTGGAATTATGTGAGTTTATGTTGAGTGAGAACAATTTTACACCTGTATTTTGTATCAATGGCAGGATCATCTGCCTCTCCTTTTGTCTAAACTGTGGGCAGGTTGAAGGCAGAGATTATCACACTTATATCAGTATCTCACAGAACTCTAAAACACTTAACAAGTTCTTGATAAATGTTTACTGACTGAAAGGCCAACCTGAATGTCTTTATTTCCTATGAAAAACTGTGAAAATAGACTCAAATTTAAATAGTAGGATGACTTGAAATCAGGGAAATGAAAGGATCCTTAAATCCAAGTTTATGCTTTACTTGGTGATACAGAAAATTTGATGGTATGACAATAAAAACTCATCTTAGCTTAATACATTACCCACTTGTACACATATTAAGAAACAGAAAGGAGAGAGGACTAAAAGGTTAATGCTTCTGGGCATTTATCCTAAGGACATGAAATCAGTAATTTGAAAGGACATTTGCACCCCTATGTTTACAACAGCATTATTCACAGATGCACAAAAATAGACTAAATCCATATATCTATGGTAATATGACTGCATAAAGCAGCTTTGGTATGTCCATCTGACAAAATACTGTCCAGTTATTTAAAAAGATGAAATTGTGCCTTTTTGACAACATGAATTGTACTTGAAGTCTTTGTGCAAAGTGAGTAGGAAAGTGATAGATGGTTACCATATATTTTACATTCCACATATGCATGATTACATTCATATATGGAATATTACTAACAAATTAATCAGACTGATAAAACACAACATAAGTAATGCTTAGACTTTTCTGGTTACTAGAGGGACAGGGGGAATGGATGGAGAGATGGTGGAGCGTTACTGTGATAGTGGCATGGTGCCCTGACGGTTGCTGTGGTGAGGCTTATTCAAATATTGAGGTGTGATGCTATGCTCCCAAAGTTATATAGTGTTATAAAGCAATAAACGTTGCTTTAAAATGTTCCAGGAAGATGTCACAGGGGTCTGGGGTGCACACTTTGTATGCACCCAACCCTGGTTTGATCACTAGAAATTCCACGGTCCCCTGAACATCGCTGAGTCCTAGAACATCAAGAGTTCTTCCCTGGAGGCCTCACCCACCAAGCACCATCAGGGTTTTCCTACTGGTCCCCGCCATCACAGAGTCCAAACAGCATCACTTAGGACCTTAGGGCTCACACTTAATCGGCTCCGGTCTGACAGGCTGATTATTGCTGTGAGAGGCTCTTCGAGCATTTTTACTCCCAGAATAAAAGCAATATGAAATACATTGATGGGACTAATACAAATTAAAAATGGAATATACTAGATGTTGATAAAAATAGGTGTCTAGGATTTCATTGAACTTCCTCTTAAGTTTAGAAAATATTTACCAGGGTGTGGAAAGAATTAAAAGGAACCTTGGATAATTTCTAAAGAATTCTATCTCAGTGAAGAAATGAGATGGTCAGAGGTTGGAAGGGGAGGGACCCAGATAGCAACGCCCCAGTTCACAGTTCTATATCCCCATAAAGCGTTTAAATGAAAGGAAGTCCTTCTGGCACTAGTTGCACCTTTGGAACTGGCTTACCTAGTCATTCCAAAGTCAGAAACTTTCACTGTGAGATCACTGTCTACCAAACAGTTCCGAGCAGCCTTTGGAAGAAAGACAAAATTACCAAGCAGGAAAAATGACCAACAGTCTCCTGACATCAGAATCATTTTTCTTCAGCAGAATATATAATTGCTTCTCAGAACTTCAAAGGCTGCCTTTCAAAGGCGTGATCTGAAGTACAGATGTTGTCTTTTTTCATTTGCACCTTTTAACTTTTCAAATTGGAAATGTGCTCCTGCATTTTCTCCCCATCGTTCATCTCAGCAAACAGCATGAACGGTGTTGCACATTAAGCAAGAACCTGAGCTCATTAACATGATGAAAAATTTCATTTCTAGGGGTTCCTCTCTACCACTGGAAAACTGTGTTGTAATGGATGCTTTTAAAGCATAAATGCTGCACCAGAGACTTTCAGAAGGCACTGGCTTAGCTGTTCCTAGCACGTTAGCTCTTTGACACAAGACAATCTCTAAAAGATAAACACCAAGTGAATAGCAAGCAGAATACTCCCCACTCCTACCCTGGCCCAAATATACAAATTTCATTTCCTTATAGACTAGGGCTTTTGCGGTTTGACTTGGTTGGTTTTCATCTCTGTAACTGCAATTGAGGGGAACGACTGCTAAGTGTTAACTAGGCCCTTCCTGGAATAAAAGCCAACTGGGGGTTAACAGTTCAGAGAAACACTACACACACCAGTCTTTTCCATCTGTTTTCCTTCATACTACACCACGTATAGGCCATGATGGCTTCTACTCTTCCTTTTTTTTTTTTTTTTGCTTTTTGGGTGATGCACAGGGGTTGCTCCTGGCTCATGCACTCAGGAATTACTCCTGGCAGTGCTCAGGGGACCATATAGGGCTGGGAATTGAACCCAGATCGGCCGTGTGCAAGGCAAATGCCCTACCCACTGTACTATCCTCCAGCCCCTCTTTCTGATCTTTAAATATTTTCTTTTAAAATTGTGATTTTTAGGGGACTGGAGAGATAGCACAGTGGGTAGGGCGTTCCTCGGCATCCCATTAGGTCCCTTGAGTACCGCTGACTCAGGAGTGATTCCCGTGTGCAGATCTAGGAATAACCCTTGTGCGTGGCCCAAAGTCAAACAAATAAAAAAGAAATGGTGATTTTTTAGCAAAAGTATCATGTCCCTAAGCCTGTCAAAAGGGAACAAAGAGAAAAGATGCTCTCCTGGCCCTTTCAGTGTCTGTGTATGCATAGAGTGAAGCAGGGAGCCCTGTGGATTGTTGCCTTCTTTCCTTTGAGCTTGCTTACCAAGCTTTCCTTCGACCTTTTCTTACCAAGTCCCGATGTATGAACTGGTGACTCTCCAAGAAGGCCATGCCTTCACAAACGTCATAACACATTTCTAAGAGCTGGCAGGGTTCCAGGCCTTTCCCATGATTCTTCAGGTAATCAAGCAAGCAGCCATTGGTTATATATTCAGTGACTATGTATATCGGGTATCTCTTCGAACACACTCCATAGAATTTTACCAGCTTGGGATGGCTGAGTTTCCTGGAAACAACAGATTTTCGAAGTTCAGTACTGAGATGCCACATGCCATTTTCCACATCTTAAAAACAATCCCTTGGGACCAGAGAGACAATATAGCAGGTAAGGCACTCACTTGCCTTGCAAGCCGCTGACCCAGGTTCAATCTCTAGCACCCCATATTGTCCCCTAAGCCTGCTAGGAGTCATCCCTGAGCATAGGGCCAGAAGTAAGCCCTGATCACAGCCAGGTGTGACCCCCAAACAAAACAAAAATCCTTCTCAGATTTATGGGGTTTTTTTGGTCATACCCCCATTGCACTTGGGAAAGGAAAGAGAAAGAAAATTTTAGGAGCACCTTTGTATTAAAATGATAAAAATACTGCCTAATTTTAAACAATTATACTTCCAGCAATAATTTAGCATTTGTAGGTACTTTCTTCCTTTTTCCTACAGAGAAGCAGTGGTCTGTTCCCTTAGAGATTCCATAGTCTTCCACGGTCTCTTGAGAACTCCCATGACTTATTTGAAGGGAGCTACATGCACTCTAAGAGCATTCACCTTCATGTCTAGATATTTCCTTCTGAAAATGTACTTACTTAATATCTGGATGTGAAGAGCAAAGGCAAAATGAAAATAGTCATGTTAGAGAAGTGATATTAGGCACAATTTTGATTTCTGCTCAAAAAGACTAATTTTATACTATTATGTTACTTTTCAATAATAAATTAAGAAACTTGCAACCAAATTTATAGCATTTCTGGTAGGATATGACATAGCCATTACAATACTCATCAACTTGCCATTATGAATGCATCTGTTCCTATAAATTTACAGCACGATTCTTCAGTGTTCAGATGTGTGAAGTAGACATAAATTTAACATGCAAAATAAGAAACTCTTAATGAATGAGGATTTATGAAATATTTCATTTTCTTCTTAGTGTAACTATAGGGGAATATCTTATCATACTATTTCTTTATTAATCTTGCAGTAATTTAAAGACCTGCACAGAGGGCTGAAGATATAGCTCAATGAACTGAGTTCATGATTTGGATGTGGGAGCCCAGGATTTGATCCATTGAACCATATGATCCCTCTGGGAACTGCTGGGTGTGTTCCTAAAACCAAAGTAAAATAAAGACCTAAATGGCACTCACTCACTCCCTTAAAAGGGAAGACCTATGGTTGGAAAAAAGTCCACTGTCCAATAAAAACTATTCTTTGTACAAATTCAATCCCTTGCCATGGAACTCATAATAGGAACTCTATCACGATCACGATCATCCTGTTGATCATCGATCTCCTCGAGCAGGCACCAGTAACATCTCCTTCATCCTAGCCCTTGAGATTTTAGAAAGTGCCATATTCAAGGCTCTTTCAGGGTCAGGAGAATGAGACTCATAATTGTTACTGGGTTTTGGCATATTGAGTACACCATGGGGAGTTTGCCAGACGCTGCCATGCGGGCAGGATGCTCTCGGTAACCTGTTGGGTTCTCCAGAGTAAGAACTAGATAATAAGATGTCGCATGGCTGCATTAGCTGCTGCGTGCTTCCGGAATCTGGGTTTTATAGTCTCTGGGTCTTGGCCGTTGATGGGATTACCTGGCGCTGGGGGCAGTTGGTGGGTGTGACGCCTACCTACTGGAAGATGGGAGATCTGGGTGGAGGAGGTCCAGTCCCGATAACCGAGCAGGCTTGAAGATCTCAGCCCTGGGACCCGCATGCCTGTGTTCCTCTGCAGGTTCCTTCATGCATGTGGAGAGTGGTCTCAGCATGGCTGTGGATTCTATGCCAACTGATACTTCCCCCATGGAAAGCCTTTCCCTATTCTGGTCCACTCTAAGATTTTCATTATGACAATGTGATTTGTCACTGACTCCTGATTACCAGTTTTTAAAGAATGTTACTCCGAGACACAAGAATTATATCATGAGTCTAAGGAAATTTCTGAAATTTCCTTTTCTGTTCCACAAAGGAAAACATTAAAGGAACCCTTCCCATTTTCATGATCATCCTATTGCCAAAGTTATGACAAGTGATATCACTCCTGGGGACCATGCAACTGGACCATGCAGGGACCCTTGTTTAAAGGTTATTAAGAATTACAAGAGGATGGAAGCAGAGCATTAAATCTGAATGCAGGATCTGGGCCTAGTGAGAATACAGGTTGTACGGCTCATGAAACTTGTAGCTATCTAGTACCTCCTCTTCTAAAAATGTTCTGACTTTCCTGATTAAAAAAGGGGCTAAGCACACGGACACTGAACTGTCTGGTGAGTTTGCATTCTCCGCTTTGGGCAAGTTATTTACCATTTCTGTGCTTCAGTTTCCCTGTAAAACAAAGATAACAATAGTACATCTTTTGAGACTTCTTATGAAGATTGAATATTTGGGCTTAGAGAAAAAGCCTGTAAGCTCTATCTATAGAAGCCTTTCTATCAACATTCAGAAAGTGCTCTTTTTTTGCAGTGGATTTGTGATTTCACTGACCTTTGACCCAAGTCCTGCTATAGCACTGTTTTTTCTACCCTGCTAAGTGTTTCCTAAAAGGATAACCAGCTGCTCCAATCTGCTTCAGACTGTAGGGTTTCTTGGTCACAGGACTTTTCAGTGCGAAGACTTGGATAGTCTCCAACTGATCTGGGTAGTTGGTCAAGCCTTCAAAGTCTGATACACCATCTGATAAACAGTGGTAAAAAACATTAAAATATTTCTTTGAGCTTACATAACAGAGAGGAGATTGGATGGGGATGGGGAGAAGATGTATCGCCAAGAATATGTGCCTGGAGCTGAGATCCAGTAGGAACGTCATCTCCACTTACCAGGTGAGGCAAGAGGATGGATGGGAAGGAGACTTTTAACGGATGGCATGGACAGTACAGGAAGGAAGTGGATATTGTCTTCAGTGTTACTTTATTTCTGACCTGTAGTTGTTCCTGCCTTAGGCATGGGTTTTGTTTTGTAGAGACACAGTCTGTTTCTCATCCTACTCTGCCCCACCCCACAAGGAAGCCACAGGGCCAAGGAGATATGCCCACTCAGGATTGTTGCCACTTTCTGATCATCCTTAGGGTATAAGGACTCTGAAATCTCCTGGACAGGACACATGAGACCTCCTGAAGACCTCCTGCACAGGACGCATGAGTTATTCCTGGGTCTTTTCCCCCAAGAGTGAACCACACTAGCACAAATTGTGGGTCTGTATATATGGTTCATGAGAGAAATAAAGGGAGCTTGAGTCCTCTAGACGATGTACATTAGTATGGAACTCAGGGAACAATGGAGCTGGGGGATGGGAGGAGAAAGGGGGTGTCTGGGGGACTTGGAGGCCCTGGGCCAGGCCAGGCTTCTCTAAAGATTCTTGAGAATTCTAAATTCAAATAGGTCTTTCTGGTTACTATGAAGGTATACTTTCAAAGGAGAAATATGGAACCTCTTTGGTTTGTCTTTTGGACCACTCCTGGCTCTGGGCTCAGGCATCACTCCTGATGAGTCTTGGGGACCATATGCAGTGCTGGAGATCGAACTCAGGCCAGATGCATGCAAGGCTTACCTGGTGTACTGTCTTTCTGGCCCCAGACCTTTTTGTTTCAGGTTTCTGGGCCATACCCAGCTGTGCTCCAGAGATAGTCCCGGCTCTGTGCTTAGGAGTGACCTCTGGCAGTGCTCAGGAGACCTTACGTGATGCTAGGATTAAACCAGCATTAGTCCCATGCAAGCCAAGTACCTTATCCACTGCATGGTCGCTTCAGTTCACAGAATCTATTTGACGTGTGCTCACTTAATTTTTGCATTTCTCTGTTGCATAAACGCTCACTCCAGGCCTTGCAAATGTGACAGACAGGACTGAGGACTCAGCTGGTATTGCTCAGACAAAACTTACATCATGGTCTGGGCCTCCTGGAAGAATTCATCTTCTGACATGGAGCCCTCCTTGATCATTTTCACAGCAACATCGTATTGCCCTTTCCACTTGGCCAGGTGGACCACTCCAAACTGACCGCTTCCCAACTGCTTCAGCACTGTAATCTCTTCTCTTTTCAGCTCCCAGATGTCTAACAAGGCAAAACGGACACATTTTAGGTTTGTGTAGAAGGCTTTGGGGCTAACAGTTTTCCAAGTGATTTTTTTTTTTTTTTTGCTTTTTGGGTCACATCCACTCATGCTCTGGGTTCCTCCTGACTCTGCACTCAGGAATTACCCCTGGCGGTGCTCAGGGGACCATATTGGGATGCCAGGGATCAAACCCAGGTCAGCTGCATGTAAGGCAAATGGCCTACCCGCTGGGTTACCACTCCGGCCCCTCCCAAGTGATTTTTGATTTTAAGTTTTGTCTCTCAAAAAATCCCCAAACGCTATAGTTTTCTGACCTACTTAGACCACACAGTAATGCCAACTTGGATTGCATTGGAGGCAGATACCATTATTAACTACAAACCTCAATATCTTGACTAACTAGAGGTATCTGGGCATTGGTATCAAAATGTACTCAGTGCTCTAAGCTCGGTAAAACATTATTACATTTTCTTTCCTTTTTCTTTCTTTTCTTTCTTTCTTTCTTTCTTTCTTTCTTTCTTTCTTCCTTCCTTCCTTCCTTCCTTCCTTCCTTCCTCTTCCTTCCTTCCCCTTCCTTCCTTCCTTCCTTCCTTCCTTCCTTCCTTTCTTTCTTTCTTTCTTTCTTTCTTTTGTTTTTGGAACACACCCCATGGTTCTCAGAGGTTCCTCTTTACTCCTGGCACGGTGCTGGGGGGACCATATGAGATGCCGGGGATCAAAGCTGGGTTGGTCACATGCACGGAAAATGCCCTACCTGTTGTACTATTGCTCCAGCCCGCATTACACTTTCTTATAAAACAAATTAAATTGTTATCTGGGTGGATCGCATTATCCTAAGCACACAGGTTGAAGACAGGCTCCCCTAGACAGGCACAGAACAAGAGGCAGGAACGGATAACGGGATCCCATGGGGCTGATGGCAAGTCTAAGCACAGAAACAGACAATACTTTGGGCATTGCTGAGGAGATTTCAGATTTAAGAGAACTGAAAAGGGTTTGCTTTTTAAGAAAATGAACAAATATATCTGAAGCCTTCCCAATTCACAGAGACTACCTTCTTGTCTCTCTGCGTTTTTCAAAAATGACTTACATGTCTTTTGAACCAAAAATGGAGGGAAATGAAGCCCAAAGATAAGTCCATACCATTTCCCAAGGACGCGAAGCTGGGAACCTTGTTGGTTGTGGTCGACACAGGGTGACGGAGTCGTGTGATCATGCCTGCAACAGAATCAGTGTCACATGAACACACACCATAGCATGTTGTCACGTGGTCACTTTACATCCCCTACCTTCCGGGAGCTGAACTAGCAGAGCTAAGGCTGTGGCAAGGCTGAAAGAGAATCCATTTGGAACATATTCCTTTTCTAGGTGGATTCGTTACTGTGACTAACTAGCTCCACGCTAATTAAAATTTTAAATAGTAAATGCTAATTCTAATTAAAGTTTTAAAAGTAAAACCCAAAATTAAAAGTGTAAAACAAAACCAAAGTTAAAGAGTAATCACTCTTTATGCAATTTAAAGTCTCCACAATGTGACTGGATGGAATCTTTCAGTTAATTTTTTTCCATTTTTATTTTATGGAGCGATAGCACAGTGGGTAGGGCGTTCGCCTTACAAGCGGCCAACATGGCCGACCTGAGTTCGATTCCTCCGCCCCTCTCGGAGAGCCCGGCAAGCTACCGAGAGTATTCGATATGCCAAACACAGTAACAACAAAGTCTCCAATGGAGACGTTACTGGGCCCGCTCAAGCAAATCGACGATCAACGGGAGGGCCTTTACCTTTACCTTTACATTACTTTGTTTAAATATGTACATGCAAAGCACATATATATTTGTCAAGACATCAGAACATTGCATACAGTTACAAAATAAGGGACAGGAATGGTAGTACAGTGGGTAGGGTGTTTGCCTTGCACAAACCTAACCCAGATTCTAACCACAGCCTCTCAGAGGGTCCCCTGAGCCCACCAGGAGTGATTCCTGATTGCAAAGCCAGGAGTAACCCCTAAGCACTGCCAGTGTGCCCCCCAAAATAAGTTAATTTTTAAAAACTGGAGTCTTTTACCGAAATCATTGTCACTGTCACTGTCCTCCCGTTGTTCATTGATTTGCTCGAGCGGGCCCAGTAACGTCTCCATTGTGAGACTTGTTGTTACTGTGTTTGGCATATCGAATACATCACTGGTAGCTTGCCAGCCTTTGCCTGGTGGACAAGATACTCTCAATAGCTTGCCGGGCTCTCTGAGAGGGGCAGAGGAGTCAAACCCCGGTCGGTTGGGCCGGGCAAGCAAGACAAACGCCCTACCGCTGTGCTATTGCTCTAACCTGCTAAACTGCATTAAATGTATGAAATGGTCGATTCATTTTTATTGTTTAAACTGAGTTGTGGTAAATCTGGATGAAAATAATTACAGTATTTATGGTGATGATACAATTCTTCAAAAACGTCAGTGTTTGCAGGGCTCAAGGGAGAATGCATGGGGTACAGCTTTTGTCTTTCATGCAGCTTCCCCCCCCTTTTGAATCATTGGTACCACATAGGGTCCCCTGAGCACTGCCAGGAGTGACCCTTCAGCACAGAGAAGGGGTTAACCGTGTATATTCCTGGGTGTGGCCCCAATACACCCCCACAAAACAATTCATGTTTGTTTCAAACATAGAAAGGTTTCCAAGTCCTGGGAGATCCCACACATGTGTTTTTATATGAGTAGTTTCCAGACCTTGTAAATTCAATAACTTTAATGGGGCTGGAGCGATAGCACAGCGGTAGGGCGTTTGCCTTGCACACAGCCAACATGGCCAACCCGAGTTCAATTCCTCCACCCCTCTCGGAGAACCCGGCAAGCTACCGAGAGTATCTCACCGGCACAGCAGAACCTGGCAAGCTACCCGTGACGTACTCGATATGCCAAACACAGTAACAAGTGTCACAATGGAGATGTTACTGGGCCCGCTTGAGCAATGGGAAGAAATAGGTGATGTAGCTTTTAGAGAAGCTGAAGTAAGCTATATGCATAAATATGAAAAGACTTCAGAAACAAGTTGAATAAAGAAAGGAAGTGGAAAAGTAAAATGTGTAGAGGGAGATCTTTGAAAAAATGAAAGGCATACATGTACAGGAATCCACAATGTGTGTTCCTATATGATGAATGGTAAGTGTGATTGTCATCACAGAAAAAAAAAACATCAAAAACATCAGCACAGACACAAAAATAACCATGAAATTTTCTCCTCCAATGCCAACTGTTTCTTAGCTGTTTCTTAGTGTTTGCATCTTTCGATCACCTTACTTTAACAAAAAGAGAAGTGCTTACAAATATTTAAATTGGGATTTTAGGTTTTTTGTTTCAGGAAGCAAAATAGTTTTTATTGGATGAAACTTACTTAGAAGGATGCGGGCGTGCGTATGCTGCAAAAGCCCATGTGCTGCTTGAGTCCAGGTGGCCAAGCACATGTGGTGCCCAAGCAGATGTGTCACCCGCATCACCCCTCTTGAGATGTGAGCTTTCATGCTTTTGTGTCTCATGCTGGGATGAGTGTAGGGACTCTGCCCTTGGAGAAGCCTGGGATCTCTCTTAAGCACGTCTCTCTCTGTCTCTCTCTCTCTGTCTCTTTGTCTCTGTCTCTATCTCTGTCTGTCTCTGTCTCTCTCTTCCTCTCTCTCTCCCTCAAAAACCCTCCAAATAAAATTCTATTTACTTAAAAAAAAAGAAAGATGTGGAGTTCATGCCCAATTCAATCAGCTAATCAGTGGCTGAATAAATAGCAGTACTCCTACAAAAAAAAAAGAAAGATACGAGTGGGCTAGAAGGAAAGGAAGTCGTGTTCAAGAGAGAAAGAGCAAGTAAGCAAGAACAGAGACAGAAAAGAGATGTGTTGCGGGGCTTGAAGGAGCACACCTTTGTTTTGGTTTTGGGGCCACACTCATCAGCGCTCACTGGCTACTCTTGCCTCTGTACTTGGGACTTGTCCCCAGAGATGCTGGGGAGGTGTGGTGCTGGGGTTCAAGCCTGAGTCTCCGCTAAGCAAAGCATGCACTTAGCCCTTTGAACTCTCTTCCCGGGTCCTCACTTCAAACCTGTTCATATTTTTTTCATCTTTCAACATTTTAATTATTTATTATTTATTTATTTTACAGACTTACAAGCTTTCATGATTGCATTTGAGTCAAACAATGTTCAAGTACCCATCCCACCACCAGTGCCCATTCTCTACCACCAACGTTCCCAGTATCCCTCCCACCACTCTCACCCCTTCCCACCTCCTGCCTCTGTGGCAGGCACCTTCCCTCTTACTCTCTCTCTCCTTTTGGGTGTTATAAACCTGTTTTTTGGATTTTTGGGTCACACCCGGCAATGCACAGGGGCTACTCCTGGCTCATACACTCAGGAATTACTCCTGGTGGTGTTCAGGCGACCATATGGGATGCTGGGAATCGAACCCGGGTCGGCTGCATGCAAGGCAAATGCCCTACCCACTGTGCTGTTGCTCCAGCCCCAACCTGTTCATATTTTTATGTGGAGCATCTTTACTTCTATTTCACTCAACTTTTTTTCTTGACATTAGAGAGTTTATAATGTTAGATTGCAGAAAATATAAGTTAGAGGCCACAGGAGGCAGAGAATATGAAAGCATCTTCCCCACTTTCATGGTTCTCTGTATAATAATGACCATCAGCGTGCTTAGTAGTAACCAGGGAAACTGATATTTATTGAAAGAAGCCATAAAAGAAAACTGAAATAAGCTACCTGCTGAGTTGTGCTGATGATAGTGAATAAGTTCTGGAATGGAATCAAAACAGTAGTTTTCTGCCAGGTACAATTTGTTCTCAGCATTTGTATGCACATGGTAATGTTTGACTGTTCCTGTTTTGTCACTGGTAAGGAAGAAAGAATGTTAAAACACTTATAAGAAGCAACCTGAGTTTGAATTAACAATGCGTAATGATGACTAAAGTTGCGTGTGCGAACTGTTGAAAGGGAATTCAGAAAGCCTTGCCATGTGGTAAAGTAAAGTAAAGTAAAGGCCCTCCCGTTGATCATCGATTTGCTCGAGCGGGCCCAGTAACGTCTCCATTGGAGACTTTGTTGTTACTGTGTCTGGTATTTATCTGAAGTAATCTGTGATGCTCCGAAGTTACTGAAGAGGCATCTTTCTGAACTCCAAGTAGCTTTTGTGTACATCTAGAATTCAGTAGAATGAAATCCCCACTTCCTGGGCCATTCCTTCTTGGGGAAGTATAAGCTGGGATCGATCTGTGTTTGGTGCTTGAGAATGCTGCTGTTCAGTTCTCAACTGTTATTCTGCACACCAATTTTCTTTTAGATTAATAATGGGGATGAAAATAGGGAACTTAATTTGGCTGGGGTGTGAGGGGGGTATTCGCAGCCAGAGCAAAGAAGAGGGTTCTTGGGGAGGGATCCTGCAGGCTGAAAAGTGCTGTTCTTTCCTGAGAGAATCACTCAATTATAGATATTTAACTAGGAGTGTTAATTTCCTGACAATCCTGTAATCATAATAAAATGCAGTTAAGTACTACATGTTCAGGCTTTACCATAGTCATGCACATATCCAGATTTCAAATTTCACATTAAGTCCCATTAGCTTCATAATTATGTTCTATAAATTCAAAGTTATATCTATAGTTTCATGACAAATTTGCTTAAAACTTAAAGTCCTAGAGATAAGAGTGATGGTGGTTTACCTTTAAGTCTAGATGCCTTGTTGAATACTGAGCACATAGATTTTTTATCTAATAAAGACAGCTTAGATAAAGGGTGGAAGCAGCCCAATGAGGATAGCTCGCTAGATAGATGCAATCCAGGGCACACAACTACACAGCTTCTGCCTTCTGCCAACTCTGACCTTGATGGGAAGACTTACTGGGGGTGGGGTAGGTCTCAGCTCAACAGCAGGGGTTGAATGTGTAAGGGTTTAGGGTCCATTGCTGTTTTCCTCTTGTTTAGGACATAGGAGAGACCTGAAGAGCGTTCCCCAGATTCTTGTGACACTTGTTCACTAAGGCATGCATTGCACCAGGCACCTGGCTGCGCTCTACGAAGCACAGGGTTCACCCACAAAACCATCCTCTTGGAAGTAGGGGCAGAGGGCAACTCTAAATGGTCGCATTCGACACATACTTTAAGCCTTAACTTCTGGAGTTTACAAATAGCATCTTATTCCAAAAAGGTGATTGACCACGGTAGCCAAAGAACAGACACAAAAGATAAAAGAACGAAATCCATGCCATACTCACTTCACAGCCTTACTAAACAAGGACACTGTGTACATTCCAACCTGGCTGGAATTTCTAACCATGAATGCTCCTTCTTTTCCCTGGAAAGGAAGGAATATGTGGAAGGAACAGGAAACATCTTCATTATTCTTGAAAACGATTTTTCCTGGTAGGTGGTGAAACATAGCTTTTCGATCTAGTTAAATGTCACTGATGACACAGATTGTTCAACAGTTGGCATCGAAGGAGGCCCATCATTTAAATCTCCCCTCTTCTCACTCAATCTTTTTACAGCTCTACCCCCAGTGTTTCAATTCTTCCTCTGTGATTAAGTTTTAATTCTGACTAATCATGTTCTCTTTTTTGTATTTGAGCAAATACGTGTTTTTCCTCTTTCAACGATAAAATTTCAAAAAACACATGACATTATATCACACCCTTGGAAGCTTTTAGGGAAGCAAAGAGCCAGAACAAATCGTTTGTTTAAGTTCTGTGCTCAACTTGTATTTCTGAATGTCTTGTGCTAATTCCAAGCAGATCCAGATCCTGAAAGAGCAGATAATAAATTGTAAATGTGTCAAAATACTTATTTGTGTTGTGAAGTCATCAATTTCTTGCCAGTATTTCTTAAGGAAATAATTAGGCTCTTTTATTAGTTGAGTTACATTAAAAGGTCATTTCTGGAAGTCAGCGTTTTGTTGTTGGTAAATTCGAAGCCAGTTAGTCACAAAATTGGATAGATTTATTTGTCATTACATCTGCTATACTTTGGTTAAGATGGCCATGAGTAAATTATCCCTCTGTAGTCATGCCCTCTGTGTTCTCCTCCCACGCTGACTCTGGAATGGTCCATGTGACTTGATTTGGTCAATAATAGAACACTAGAAAATATGACAGAGGTGTAGACTTAATACGACATTTCACTGCATAATCATTGCAGGTTTTATACCATCTTTTGAAAGAACTTGGGGTATGAACATTATATGAAGCTCTTTTTGAAACCGTGCTAGTATTATTTGAAAGCATGATACAAATACAGTGTTCTCATAGAATTGGGGTCCTTATCCTCTCTTATCACTTCCTTGAGATCACCACGCTGTAAGGAAGCCTGAGTTAATCACTGGGGAGAACTCTGGCACCCCAGTTGACTGCCTCAGTTCAATCCAATGCTGCTTTCCCTCTCTCACCCCGACAGTACACCAGCTAACCACAGCTACTGGAGTGACCCCAAACATACAACACAGAAGAGCAAATTTTAACTTTTGTTGTTTCAAGCCATCGCCTTTTGGAATGGCTTGTTCCACAGCAATAGATCCTGCATCAAAGGAAGGTGAAAGACTTGGTAACCCATAGGCTAGACAACCGACACTATAATATGATGCACTGACTGAGTAATTAGCAATAAGGCTTCTATAAGAGGTTCATTAGCTTCTTGGTCCACCAATAGAGATTTTTAGAGACTGTTTAAAGTTGGGATGTTTACCTTTTGTCTCAGTAACTGCTCAGATTGTGACCTGGACATGTTACCTGCAAACCAGCTGCAACAGAAAGCATTCCATATTTGAGAATAAATTATTTTAAGTCTTATTTTAGCACTATTATTTACAATATTGATAATATCAGGGTTTCATGCAAAAAGCATTCCAACATCACACCCCCCCCACCAGAGTGTCCACTTTCTTTATTTCCCAGTGTCCCCCCCCTTGAATATGCTTCCTATTAAAGACAACTCTCAGTTTTTGTTGCCTTTGAGTTTTTGTTATTCCTTTACTGCGTTACTTTATAATCCACATATGAGAAAGACCGTTTTTGCATTTCTCCCTCTTCTCTGACTAACTTCACTCAACATGACACTCTCCAGATCCATCACATAAACACAAATTGCACAATTTCATCTTTTCTTATAGCTGAGTAGCATTATATTTTGTTTATGTATCAGTTCCTTTACTTTTTTTCTTTTCTTTTTTTTTGCTTTTTGGGTCACACCCGGCAATGCACTGGGGTTACTCCTGGCTCCGCATTCAGGAGTTACCCCTGGTGATACTCAGGGGATCATATGGGATGCTGTGAATAGATTGAACCTGGATGGGCTGCATGCAAGGCAAACGCCCTACCCACTGTGCTATTGCTCCAGCCCCTACATATCAGTTTCTTTATCCAGTCATCTGTTCTTGAATATTTGGATTGTTCCCAGATTTGGGCTATTGGGACTATTGATTCAATAAACATAGGAGTGCAAGTGTCTTTCCTGAAGAAAGTTTTAGGACACTTGGAGTTAAATGTCGAGAAGTTGAATTTCTGGATCACATGGGAGAACAAATCATTTAAGTTGCATCACATATCATTCGACTTTTCATCTGTAAGGTGAAGTGTTAACCTACACCAGGGCTTTCCAAACTAGACTTCTCAAGATAATCACCAAAAATTTTTTGAAAAAAATAATTTTCTGAATTTTCCTCCTCACTTCTGATTCTGGAGTGACATATTCACATCTATGTTTTCAAGTAAAGGTAAAGGTAAAGGCCCTCCCGTTGATCGTCGATTTGCTCGAGCGGGCCCAGTAACGTCTCCATTGGAGACTTTGTTGTTACTGTGTCTGGCATATCGAATACTCTCGGTAGCTTGCCGGGCTCTCCGAGAGGGGCGGGGAAATCGAACTCGGGTCGGCCATGTTGGCCGCTTGTAAGGCGAACGCCCTACCCGCTGTGCTATTGGCGTATAGAAACTGTTGACTTCCTTCTTTCTATGTGACCTCTAACTTCCCTCAGATATCATTATTTTGACTTTTTTCTGGCCACACCCAGTAGGGTTTAGGGACTATACCCAACTGTGTTCAGGAGTCACACCTGTCTCTATGTCCAGGGGCCATATCTGATGGTTCTGGGAGACCATATTCTAAGCCAGGATTTAAACCAGGGTCACAGATTTAGTTAGGTAAGTGCCTTAACCTTTGTACTATCTCTCTGATCCTATATGTCACCATTTTGAATGAAAGTCAGACTTCAGGGGAAAGTCAGTCTCCAAGGATGAATGTTTCTACCATTTGACCCTACTGTTTTCTTTTAAGAATCTGATGGAAGTTCATTTTATAGCATCTATTTTCAATGTCAATATTTTTCTTTTCTTTTTAGTTTTTTTCAATGTCAACATTTATCTAAGATGTATTTTTTATTTGCAAGAGAGTAGTATTTGTCTAAGATTATATCAAACAAGAGCATTTGCACTTAACCAAAAAAAAATCATGTGAGGCATCCAAGTATAATTTTTAAATATTGCCCTTTTTTAACTAAGTTATTCTAGGACATAACTTTTTTGTGTGGGGGCCACACCCAGAAATGCTTAGAGGTTACTCCTGGCTCTGCACTCAGGAATTATCTTGGCAGTCTTGGGGGACCATCGGGGATGCTGGTGATTGAACCGGGTTGACCACATGCAAAGCAAGCACCCTACTGGCTATACTATCACTCCAGTTCCATCACTTCTTATTTTATATGTGAAGTTCAATGGGACGAAGAGTTGTTTCTCATGTGAAATCAAGTGTCTGTAGCCTTTGACTTTGGCCAAGACATGGTACTAAGAAATGAAGAGAACAAGATGTGATGTAGGAGGGATCTGGGACCTGGAACCTGAGGGATCCTCAGGCTAGAAGATAACACTGAAGAGGAAAAAGCAACACAACAACAACAACAGTAATACAACAAGGAGAAAACTCAGGCATAAAATGTTTCAGGACTTGGCAGGATGGGTAGGAAGTGTTTTTCCATATAATCCCTGCATCAGGTGAAAGGGATATAGCTGGTGGTCAGCTCACTGAAATGGAGCAAGTCTTACACTATCCAACTTGGAGGTCTGGATTCTAGATATAATTTCCTAATAAGTAGTGTATGGATTTGGACAAGCCAGTTAGTCATTTTTGGCCTTGGATCTTCCCATTTGTAAAATTAGGGTTAAGGTTGAATTTGATCAATTTTTTTTGGTTTGAGGGCTATACCAGGCAGTGCTCAGGGCTAAGTTCTGGCTCTATGATCAGGGATCACTCCTGGCGGGCCTCAGGGAACCATATGTGGTTCCAGGGATCAAACCCTGGTCAGGCATGTGCAAGGCAAGCACCTTACCCTCTGTACTATCTCTCAGGCCCCATGAACTTGATCATTTTGAAAGCCCTTATAACTCTACCATTATATTTACAATGTAATGCATACTGGATACAAGATTTGATAGCTTTCTTATGAATATTTAAATATATTAATACTTATTCTAAAAATAAATTGAAGAGTGTTATCTAGGATATCTGCCTACAGGAAATAGAAGGAAGAGACAATCAGAAACAAAGAAATAAGAGTGCCCTATAAAATAATGTGAGATTTCATGTAAATTACCCTCTTCCACACACTTACGCGCACACACTCATATCTTGCTTGCATTGTAATTTTCTGAAAATTGTCACTTTTTAAATTTTTTAAAAATTAGTATTCTATGGCAAAAAAGCACATGAGAAAATGCTCTACATCATTAATCATCAGGGAGATGCAGATCAAAACTACAATGAGATACCATCTCACACCTCAGAGACTGGCCCACATCCAAAAGAACAAAAGCAACCGATGCTGGCGCGGATGTGGTGAGAAAGGGACACTCCTTCACTGTTGGTGGGAATGCCGACTGGTTTAGCCCTTTTGGAAAACAGTATGGACGATTCTCAAAAAATTAGAAATCGAGCTCCCATTTGACCCAGCAATACCACTCCTGGGAATATATCCCAGAGAGGCAAAAATGTATAGTCGAAGTGACATCTGCACTTGTTTGTTCACTGCAGCACTCTTTACAATAGCCAGAATCTGGAAAAAACCTGAGTGCCCAAGAACAGATGACTAGTTAAAGAAACTTTGGTACATCTACACAATGGAGTACTATGTAGCTGTTAGAAAAGATGAAGCCATGAAATTTACATACAAGTGGTACTACATGGAAAGTATCATGCTCAGCGAAATGAGTCAGAGAGAGAGGGATAGACATAAAAAGATTGCATTCATCTGGGAGACATAAAGTAACAAAATAGAAGATTAATACCCAAGAATAGCTGAGATCAGTACCAGGAGGATTACTCCATGGCTTAGAGGCCAGCCGGGCATTCTAGGGGAAAGGGCAGCTCAGATAGAGAAGGGAAGACCAAATAAAGGATGTTTGGAGGATCCTCCCAGAAGGGGAGATGCATGTTGAAAGTAGACTGTGGACTGAACATGATTCCCACTCAATGCCTCTTTTGCAGACCGCAACACCCAAAAGGAGAGAGGGAACAAGGGGGAATGCCCTGCCACAGAGGCAGGGTGGGATGGGGGGGGGTATGGGTGTGGGAGGGATACTGGGATCCATGGTGGTGGAAAATGGGCACTGGTGGAGGGATGGGTATTTGATCATTGTATAATCAAAACCCAAGCACAAAAATTTGTAAATCTACAACTGTACCTCATGGTGTTTCACTAATAAAATTTTTTTTAATTTATTTTTTTAATTTTTTTTATTTAATCATTTTTTTATTAGTGAAACACCATGAGGTACATTTATAGACTTATAAATTTTTGTGCTTGGGTTTCAGTTATACAATGATCAAGTACCCATCCCTCCACCAGTGCCCATCCTCCCCCACCACGGGTCCTAGCATCCCTCCCACCCCCCATCCCCACCCCCGTCCCACCCTGCCGCTGTGGCAAGGCATTCCCCATTGTTCTCTCTCTCTTCTTTTGGGTACTGTGTTTTGCCAGAGAGGCATTGAGTGGCAATCATGTTTGGTCTATAGACTACTTTTAGCATGTCTCTCCCACCCTGGGAGGGTCTTCACAACACCCTTTATTTGGTGCTCTCTTCTCTATCTGAGCTTCCTTTTCACCTAGCACATGTGGCTGGCCTTCAAGTCATGGAGCAAAATTCCTGGTACTAATCTGAGCCCTTCCTGGGTGTTAGTCTCCCGTTTTGTTGCTTTTTGTTCCCCAGATGAATGCAATTTTTCTGTGTCTATCCCGCTCTTTCTGACTCATTTCGCTTAACATGATACTTTCCATGTAGTACCACTTGTATGTAAATTTCATAACTTCATCTTTTCTAACAGCTACATAGTACTCCATTGTGTAAATGTACCAAAGTTTCTTTAACCAGTCATCTGTTCTCGGGCACTCAGGTTTTTTCCAGATTCTGGCTATTGTATAGAGTGCTGCAATGAACAAACAATTGCAGATGTCACTTCGACTATACCTTTTTGCCTCTCTGGGATATATTCCCAGGAGTGCTATAGCTGGGTCAAATGGGAGATCAAATTCTAATTTTTTGAGAATCGTCCATACTGTTTTCCAAAAGGGTTGGACCAGCCTGCATTCCCACCAGCAGTGAAGGAGGGTCCCTTTCTCGCCACATCCGCACCAGCACCTGTTGTTTTTGTTCTTGTGGATGTGGGCCGCCAGAAAAAATCGACAAATTACGCGAAGAAATGAGAGCAGAAATGTCACGATTAAAAGACTCCGTAGATGAAATGAGAAACTCAGTTTCTTCTCTTAAAAATAGAATGACCGCAGCTGAAGAGAGAATCAGTGAGCTGGAAGATCAGCTGCGCCAAGCCAACACGCAACAACAAACAGTGGCAAGGGACCTCAAAATAGCTTTTCAGAGAATCAGAGTCCTAGCAGATGATTCCAAGAGGAACAACATTAGAATCGTGGGACTACCTGAAGCTCAGGGAAACAATCCCAACGAAAAAAACACCGTCAAACAAATCATTGCTGAAAAATTCCCAGAGCTCCGCAATGCAGCCATTCAGGTTCAAGAAGCCCGAAGGGTGCCAGTTAAAAGAGACCCCAACAAAAACACTCCAAGATATATCATAGTTAGAATGATTGATGCTGCCGATAGAGACACAATACTGCAAGCAGCAAGGGCAAAGAAGGAAATCACATACAAAGGAGCACCCCTTAGATTCACAGCAGACCTATCAGAGGAAACCCTGCAAGCCCGAAGGCAGTGGCAAGATATAGTCAAAAAACTCACTGAAATGAATGCTTCACCAAGAATACTCTATCCGGCTAAACTCTCCCTCAAAATCGAAGGAACAGTACACTATTTTCTAGATAAACAGCAGCTCAGGAACTTCATAGACTCAAAACCAAACCTAAAGCAAGGCCTAAGGGGGCTACTATAAGACAAGACAAACCCTACAACCACAACACACCCTACAGAAAATGACACAAAACCCCATAACCATACTCTCTCTCAATGTCAATGGTCTAAATTCACCATTTAAGAGACACAGAGTGGCAAAATGGATACAGAGACAGAACCCAACATTCTGCTGCCTACAAGAAACTCATCTCAACAGCCAGAACAAACACAGACTCAAAGTCAAAGGATGGAAAACAATCCTGCAAGCAAACAGCTCCTTCAAAAAAGCTGGGGTGGCCATACTAGTATCAGACAACATTAATTTCACATTAAAATTTTTTTAAAAATTAGTATTCTAATGGCAAAATTAGTATTCTAATGGCAGAGCATAAGAGGCTTAGACCTAGTGCTAAGGCATGATTGGTCATCTAAATATTGGTACCTCTGTCTTCAATGGAGTACAGTTGAGTTGCTCTTGAAGTTATGACTATAAAGAAAACCCGTCAATGGTTTCTGGTAGAGCAGGATACTAAGTAAGGGCACCAAGCATAGTGTGAGAAAGTTGAACCTTAGATCATAGAGCCCTCTAGTCCCAATCTCTGATTTTGAAGAAGCAGTTCTTTCCTGATGGTTTCTCCAATGCATTCCCCTCACACACCATCAAAATCCTAAAAGATGGAGTTATAGACTGTCTGTATTGTATCTGGGCTTTCCAAGTCAGAGAAAGTTTGCCAATTCATCTAAATGCTACAGACTAAAACCTACAAGAATTTCACTCCTACTTCTTTAAGTTTTCATAATCTTTTAAAGTGCTATCATCTTTGGGTAATTATAGTGCTGATCTTTCTCAGTTTTTGTAGTGGGAGGGGGGAGTCTCGGTTTGAACGATCCCATCAGATGTTCCTCTGTGTGTAGAAGATGAAAAACAGGGGAGGACTAGAAGGTGACAAAGAGAACATGCTATAAAGAGGTGAAGGTGAGAGCATGTTTTCCCAATGTGACAGGTATAGCCAGGGTCACCCTGGGTTAGAGGTAGCAAGAAAGTGGAGACAGTAATGTGTATTTTGTCAGCTCTCATTGGACTAGTAGCTAATAAATCAATAACACAGTGTCTGTACAAAAACAGCGCTAAAATGGCATAACCCTAGTGTCCTATTTATATAGGTTGGCATTGGTTGCATTGGTTTCCATTGGTTGACTTTATGTCTGATGTATATTTCAGATGTCTGAGACATATAGTTTGCCTTATAATTAACTCCACTGTCCCTAACACCAATCTCTAAGCTCAGGAGATGATTATTTATACATATTTGTAGGATAACACTCTCAGATTTGGGGAAGAACATTATGATCCCTGACACCAACCTGTCTCATCAATTTGGACTTGCGAGAGTCTCAGGTCAGCATTTAATACTGTACTCCTTTTTCTCTCTAAAAGTTCTTGATTTACATGTTAAATTATAAGGCCACCCTTGGGAATAGGAATCTCTCACCTTGCTGTCCTATTCAAGGTATCAGTTGTGCTACTTTGTAAAATTAGTATATCATAAGTACATTCCTAAATTGACCCAGTGTTATCTGAAATATTTCTAACTGCATCCTGGATAATGTTCTCCAGGGAAGAAATAACTTTTAGAAATGTTGTATGCTATATCTTTGAAGACACAGTGAAATGAAAAGGACACAGCACGTGATGAATCCAATGAATATGTGCAGCCAATTTAGATTGTCCAGATTGGGGAAAAACATTTTCATTGGCAATAACCCAGATCACTGTTACTCATCATGCAGATAGATGGCCAGAGCATCACATGTGTTAACCGATAAGAATCTGGTCTCCTAAGCAAGTCTGAGCCATCTGTTTTAATACCTTTGGAGAGAAATAAAATAGAAATAATGATATCTAGGTTTAGCTTTAGAGGAACACAGAGCATGTTCAGAACTCACTCATAGTCATTTAGGTTTTCCTCATCTTCAGATGAATTTGACTCAGGGATGCCCCTTAAAAAGAGAGAAAACAACATTATTACAACAGTTAAAGTCACCAAATAATCCAAGAGACTAATAGTGCAATATCAAATCCTATATGCTTTCCTTTATGAGAATAAGATTTAGACTGTTAGGTTTCTTTGTCTGCACTTGGGAAGATAGCAGAGTGAAGAGAGAGTCACTCAAAAATTAAGCTCTTGATTTGTGAGAAAATCACCTTCTATAATCAAAATCATAAATATGTAAATAGAAACTTGTGGGGGTTTGAATAAGGCCACCTTTTTTTTCAAACACTAAAGGCAAGAGCTTCCACAGGCTGGCTGAATAATCAGATTGTCCAGTTCTAAGTACTGCTTTGGGAGGTAGGGGCAGTCATTATTGATATACAAAAATATTTATATACATACACAGATTGAGTAAATCTAAAACATATGCATATTTATGTTAACAGCAGCCTAGACCATGAATGATCAGGAAAAATCAACATGAAGAAAACTATAACCCCCTCCATCATTAATTCAGATAAGCAAAATGATTTAGAGAGGCACACTACATGGGATTTTCTTTCTTTCTTTCTTTCTTTCTTCCTTCCTTCCTTCCTTTCTTTCTTTTTTCTTTCTTTCTCTCTCTCTCTTTCTCTCTCTCCCTTCCTTCCTTCCTTCCTTCCTTCCTTCCTTCCTTCCTTCCTTCCTTCCTTTCTTCCTTCCTTCTTTTTCCTCCTTGCTTCCTTCCTTCCTTTCTTTCCTTCCTTGTTCTTTTTTCCTTTCTGTCTTTTTTTGGTTTATATTTATCTTAAGCATAAACCTTAGTTGCAAAAATTATTGTAAATTTGGTTAGTTTTCCTGCAAATGGAAGCAAATCCTCAATGTAAAGAGTATCTGAATTTGATTTACCATGGAATCTTTGAGGTGCTGTGATTTAAATTTTTTTCCTGTTGTTTACTGCATGGAAAATCTTCATTACTACAACAAACAAGATAAATTGAATATATTTACATTCATTTATAAATGACAAAAATTATTTTGTTCAGATGTATTTCAGCTGTAACACTTCAACCCACATTTTACTTGATTTGGGAATTTTAGCTAATGAGTTGTTTTCACATTTTGGTTTTTGCAGAGGCTCCAATAAAAACTTTCATTTGACAGTATTCCCAAACAAATGAGAACTGTTAATAATGCCACACAATAACACCAAGCAATAGAAAACTTTTATTAATAACCATTTTGAGTGGGTTTGCCCTGAATTTCTAGTAGATATGCAAGCATTTTGTCAATTACATATATTAAATAAGTGACTTTCCTCTTCACTGAAAGATTATAATTGAGTCTTGGCAGTACTGAACTTTTAACTGCTCAAGGACACAGATGGGGCTGCAGAATTTTCATTATCTGCCATTTATCACTGCATCTCTTTCATTTGGAGTGTTAAGTGAAGCATGAGGAAGTGCCTACCTCTCCAAGTCCAAAGGCTGCCTGATTTGGAATGTAGGACCTATTTCCTGTTGGCCTTCATACCCCAGGCATCCCCCCACCTCCACCCAAATCTCAACTTCATAGCGACCAATTTCCTCAACAAGCAAATGCTCCTCTGGCGCCATTCCATGGACATTACTTTAATTACATTACATTTCAATACATTAATGTCTCTCTCCACGCCTTCTTCACTTCATAGGAAAATATTTACTTAAAGGTGTTAATTTATTTTTTGATTTTTGGGTCACACCCGGCGATGTACAAGGATTGCTCCTGGCTCTGCACTCAGGAATTACTCTTGACGGTGCTCAGGGGACCATACGGGATGCTGGGAATTGAACCTGGGTCGTCCACATGCAAGGCAAACACCTTACCTGCTGTGCTATCGCTCCAGCCCCTACTTCACTTTTTTTAATTTTTACGAACTCATGGAGAATTCCTGGAATTGTGCATCATATAGGTTTGCCCATGTGACTTAACAGACTGCTATCTACTCCAAGTCACTGGATAGCTTGTACAAAATGAGAATTGTCATGCTTGATAGTCTGGAACTGGATACTTAAAAGGTTAGAGATGGGCTGGGAACGTGGCTCTGTGGTAAAGCATGCATATCTTGTGTTTGAGGCCTAGGTTCCATCTTCACAGCATCCAAACATCCCTCCCCCCAAAAGATGGTAAGTTTATACATGTGTATTTTAGAATAATTTAAATTTCTAATTAAATTTTAACCACGTCTTCATCTATTCAAAAGGGGAAAATGTCCAAGATGTTGATTTTTGAAGGGAGCATGCTCAGCAATGCCCAGGGCTTACTCCTGGCTCTGTACTCAGGAATTACTCCTGTCAGGGGCTTCTGGGATGCCAGGGGTCGAACCTGGCTTGGCCACATGCAAGGCAAGCACCCTACAGGCTGTACTATTGCTCCAGTTCTGTCCAGGATTTTTGGTTGAAATGAGCAAGTGGCAAAGGCTGTGTGGGAAGACTCTGTTTTTGGAATTCTCTGTGTGTGCATGTATGTATATATACAGTAGAATATATATCTAGAAAACACTTTAGTGGAATATACACTGAATATTCTGCAATATTTGGATATGTTAATGGGTTGTTTTACTACTCAGCAAATGATTTTAAAACAGCTGAAGTGACGATAGATGAAAGACATGATAAAAAGTGTTATCAGCTTACATGAGTTGAAAGTATTATCAACTCATATGAGCAGAGAATCAAGTTACTTTTTCAGGAAAACATTCAAATTAAGAGAAGGGAAAGATAGAGGGGAAGGCAGAAAAGATTTCCATGGTATGGGGTGGTTGGTCTCCAAAGCAGAGTATCCCCACACTTTTACTTAAAATTTTTGAATTCTGCACTGGAGAGAGAGTACAGCAGGTAGGGTGCTTGCCTTGCATGTGGCCATCCCAGGTTTAATCCTTGGCATTTGATATGGCCCCCTGAGTTCAGCCGGGAGGGATCCCTGAGCTCAGAGCCAGGAGTAAGCCCTGAGCACTTCTGGGTATGGCCCCCAAACCAAAAAAATTATCCTCCATGATGATCTTTGAGTAATTTTAATCATTTCTTCATGGATGCAATACTGTTCTGGCAAAGACGAGATCAATCAATACTTTATTCAAATAACTAACTTTCTGGAAATCTAGGGAAGTCAAGAGCTAAATCTTGAGTGCAACATCTAATGGGATGTCCAAGAGAATAAAAGCAGTAACCACAATGAAATGCTTTTTAATAAAATGTCTTTAAAATGAAAACTAATCTTAGACATTCTTGAAGACTTTTCTTTTGATCTTTGGAAAAATACCAAGAGAATAAAAGTAGTAACCATGATGAAATGCTTTTTAATAAAATGTCTTTAAAATGAAAACTAATCTTAGACATTCTTGAAGACTTTTCTTTTAATCTTTGGAAAAATATTTTAAATAAAGCAGGTTTTAGCAACCCATGACTTGGTAGATCTGCAGCAACCCATGCAAATTTCTTGTCCCAAATCCCAACTGGGAAACTGACTGGTCAGTAACACTGCCTGCCTCTCTCGGTGAACCTCCAAGATTCCAGCAGGAAGGCAATGGGGACAAAATTCACACACTATCCATTCTCCTTAGAGCCATGCTAATGGTTGTCTCCTTCTATAGGAAACTGCAAGGCAGGCAAATCAACGGAACTTCTCTTCCTGAGAACCAGATGCAGCTGACTACACTTGCATTCCAGCTCCCCCTTTGTAACGAAAGGTCCCATGACTTGTTATACTGAAAACCAGAACAAAGATGCACTTACGATTTGTCTGATTCTTTATGGTCCTGTTGCTGTACGGTCGGTACCGTGAGGCATTTGCTTTGGTCAAAATGATGAAGATGAAAGAATAAGAGGGCAAGGGAGACAAAAAAAAATGAGATGCACGATGAGTCAGAGAGATGTTCTGTCTCTGCTATGAAGAAAGGACTCTCCAATTTCAGCTAAGACCCATGTGGACGGCTTTGATGCTGAACTTCAAGTGTGGGCGTGAGGGATGGGGGTTATGGGAGGGTCATGTCTACTGCCTATATCCTCTGTCTCTAGTCTAAGATGGATCTTTTTTTTTTACCTTCTGAAATTTAGTTGCCACCAGTCAGGGCAGTCTTCCCTTGGGATATAAGGCATGTTGTAGACATTTGGCTGGGAGCCATAGTTTGTTTTCAGATCACTGTCATACCGGGTTAGAGCAGTACTTGAAGATGGCCTTTTCATTTCAAGACTTGGAATGACTGGAGGAATCTTAAACTTTGGAAGACAAAAGGGTTTAACATAAGTCACAGTGAAGTACAGATTCATGCATTGACAAGTAACCACCAAAATATATGCAATCTTAAATTAAAAGGGGATAAAGGAAGGTATTCTACATGGTCCCCCGAGCTCCGCCAGAAGTGATCTGAGCACAAAGCCAGGAGCAACCCCTGGGCATCGCTGGGTGTGGCCTCCAAACAAACAAACAAAACCAGAGCCTATAAAGTGATCACAGCTTGACAAAAGCTTGATTATATATCCTGGCCTCCAGCACTGTGAGAAAATACATTTCCATTGCTTTCATCGTGCAGTATTTTCAGCATGTAGTATTTTGCTATGGAACTCCTAGAAAACAAATACAATGATTAAAGTTTGGGAGGTTCATTTTGGTTTTATTCCCATCTGCCTGGGAAGCCCCAAAGTAGGAGGCTATGTCTAGGCACGTGAGTGTGAGCCAGTTTGACTGACCAGTGAGTTCAAGGTTGTGTTTGTTTTCCAGGAGGCCAACTCCACCCTGGGGAGCAGGTTGGCCTGGAGCCATATTAAAATAAACTCTGCGGAAGATGGGAGAATTGGCCCAGCAGACATGCTGACGCCCACAAACCCAGAGCTAAGGGTCAAATTCTCTGTCAGAAAATGAAACTGGAGCTACCCCTGGGCCAACCTGTGAATGCCTTCCATCAGGTAAAAGATCAATCAGCATTGGAAAACGATCTCACCAAGAATCCTCACCCAGTGTGGGACAAGTCACATATTGACTGTCCCTTCCTTCAGAAGGCCTGCTCTTCCCAGGCCAGGGCCCTTCAAGGGGCCGAAACCTCAATCCTTTCCACCCCTCCCCCCCACCCCAAGGCAGGCTGCCCACCAATGCAGACCCGAGGGCTATCTGTGTAGCACTGCATGGCACAAGGTTGCTCTCAACGAGAAATGGTAAGGAGGGATAGTTTTGTCATCTGAGAATGGTTCGAAGGGCTAGTGGACAAATGAGAATATGTTAGTTTTTTTTTCACTTTTATTTTTGTTTTGGGGGCCACAACTGGAGGTACTCAAGGATTATTCCTGACTCAGTGCTCAGGGATTACTCTTGGAGTCTGGGGGTTTCCAATGATGTGCCAGGAATGGAAACTGGGTTGGCTATGTACGAGGCAAAAGCCCTACCCACTGAACCACTTCTGTGGCCCCAGAATTACATTGTTTTCTACTTGTGCCCTATGAAGTCCCCGTCTACCACCAGGTTACCTACATGAGAATTACTTGGCTGTGCTGGTGGTCTTAGCAGTGTCTTATTATGTGTGATGTTGTCTAAAGGACTTCTCCAACAAACGCACTCTTTTTTGTGACTATTTATGTGATTATTGATTAAATTGGTCATCAAATGCAAAAACAGAAAATGTTCCTATATTTGAATTTATTACTCAACACTGCCCCTAGCTTTTTACTAGTGCTAGTTCATGTTTTTACTCTGCTGAACAGATTGACTATAGCTCTTATTTTCTAGTGTTGAATATGGAAAATTGGGATTATTTAATATAGCCTAACTGAAAGACCTTAATATTGACTTACTACCTTATCTGGAAAGGTGGGAGTTCTGCATTTCTCTTCATTGGTTGCAACATGAAGCTCAGAATCTGAAAAGTAAAACCAAGTTATGCTTCATGTTCATCTTGCGTTTGTGAGCCATACATAATCTTGTTGGCTAATTCCAATAACACTAAGAGTCATGATCCACAGGCAGTTCCTCTTTTATTTCTTCATATAGGATTGTTGTAAATAGCAGAAAATAAATAAACAAACATACTATATGCTTTCTTTTCTATTCTCATAATCATTGCTGACTTCTCTTCCCATCTCCACATGTAAATGGATGTCTAGGCTATAAATATGTAACCATGATGGATCTAATAAATGGTTTGGGGTTGTCCATGATTTATTTACAAAATGGAAAAATTTCTGATTATGATAATTATTTTTAGTAAGTCGATCAGGTCATCAGTCACATAATAAGTCTCCAACTATACAGGTGTCTATGGTTAACTTACTAGGTCATGTACTCTAGAAAAAGGATGGTTCTTTCTATATATAGTACAGCATATGAGCTGTAACAAGACTATATTCTGTAGTGTTTTTCAGACTAGCCAAGAGCCTGCAGCACTCGGATCACGTGATAGGCGCCATTCATACAGAGCCAAGCACAATAATCCCAAGGCAATGATCTCTCTGGCCGTGAATTTGCTCCTTCCCAGGGAGGTCAGGGTTATCCCAGTTAATTCAGAGACTAAATTGTTCCCTGCTTGATTTCTGATTCTAACTTAATATATATTACATTCCTTATGAAAAGAAAGCATGACAGATGTTAATATTGTTATTATTTTACCGAACATGACTCAATTGGCCCAGAAATTAAGCTGCTTTTGCCAGATAGCATCTTCAAGACTGGATTTTTATGATGCCAACCAAGCTGGCATGTCTTGTCTTCCTGAATTGGCAATATTTCCTGGCCTCAAATAGATTTGCCTAACCGGCACAGTCTACCCAAGGGCCAGCCCAACAGAGAGGTCACATTACATGCTTCCCAGAGAGTACATCCTGGAGCCGCTTTGCAACTCTGCTGACAGCACAGGAACTTCCCGTCCACGAAGAACCCACTGTGGTACTTGATCAGCAGGTAGGGGTTGCCTCTGATCTCTAGGGAGCAGGCGGGAAGAAAACAACATGAGCAAATGTTGGCCCAAGAGAAGAAACACATTCAGTAAGCACTGGTATCTCAGAACAATGAAAACCTCACGCTGCCAGCAAGCAGGGATAGAGCAAATGGTTCCCAATGAATAGAATGGTTCCCAAAGCCATGACGAAAGTCTAGCCAAGTAGAGTGGGAACAATACAATGAACTTCCATCAGTTTAAACTACAGCAAAACAGTAGAAAGTGTGTCGGAAGATAAGCTAGATGTTAGAATTTCAGAACGATTCCCACCCATAAAGAAAATCAGTGGCTTACAGCTTGATGTTTTCTTGTGCTGCACAAGAGACTGGGAGTAGGGCTAGATCTTAGGGGATAAAACAGGAGTTTCTTTTAATAAGAAAATTATATTTCTCCCCCAATTTTTATTTTGAAGCATTTCAAGTGGAATAAAATTTGTAAAATCCGGATAATGAATGTCCGTATTCCCTTCACTCAGATTCAACATTTTTTGTCTTTGGGTCACATCTGGTGATGCTCATGCGTTACTCCTGGCACTGTGTGCAGGAATTACAGCTGGTGGTGCTCGGGAAATCATATGGGATGCTGGGGATTGAACGCGGGTTGGCCAGGTGCAAGAAAAATGCTCTACCCACTGTACAATCTCTCCAGCCAATTAACTAATTTTTAGCTTCTTGTCATGTTTGTTTTACCTCTGTATTTCCTTAAACAATTATTCTTATGTATTTAACTTATTACTTTGGTACCTTGTTCAACTTTTTGAGAGTGAATGATAAATATGATGACCTAAAAATGTCACCCATATTAATTCAGCATATCATTTCTATTTCGGGCTGGAGCGATAGCACAGCGGTAGGGCGTTTGCCTTACAAGCAGCCAACATGGCTGACACGAGTTCGATTCCTCCGCCCCTCTCGGAGAGCCTTGCAAGCTACTGAGAGTATCTTGCCCACATGGCAGAGCCTGGCAAACTACCCGTGATGTATTCGACATGCCAAACACAGTAACAACAAAGTCTCACAATGGAGACGTTACTGGGCCCGCTCGAGCAAAATCGATGAACAACGGGAGGACTGTGACTGTGACCATCATTTCTATTGAGAAGGACAATCTCATCCATAATCATAATACAATGATCAAAATCAAGACATATAACACTGATACAATAGCATTATTCAACACATACTTCATATTTAATTTTTCCCCGCTTGTTACACATAATATCATGTGTGTAATAACATTATATGCATTTCTGACTGAGAACCCAATCCAGAAGCAATAAGAATTTCTACAACTTCTCATCCTTCTGGTCTTTCATGACTTTGACCTGTTTTTACTAAGGAAAGAATGGTTTATGAGACCAAATCTCCAGGAATCTGTGTATATTTTGTTAGAACATGGGAATAGAAAATGTTTAATACAAATAAATGAAATTAGAATACTAGTGTATAAAACTCTTTCTCCAACAAACTACGCTCTTAAAACAGCAGGGAAATTTTCAAGTTTTGAGAGAATGGTTCAAAAAGAGTCTAAGTAGGAATGGAGAATTCTAGTACTCCTTTACTATCCTGACTCAAGGAAGTCTATGGACTTAATAACAATTACTCTACTGTGTCATTTGTGTTTGGTCACAAGGAAGTGTTCAATGAACTGTGGGTTTTACTGATGGCATTCCCTTTATTGAGTTTAACTGAACTCAGATGAACTGAAAACACAGAATTTTTTTAAAAACTTTAATATTAATGTAAATTAATGAGAAACTGTTACAAAAATCACAAAAAATCCAACAGAGTTAAGATTACAAAAGACCAGTTTCTGACTTTGGTCTCAATGATCATCATAATTCCTCAAGAAAAATTCTTGTCTTCCTGTTCTCTAAGGTCTTGCTAACTATAGCCCAAACTCTCTATTACTTCAGATGAGATGAATTTCGTTTCCTAGATAACTGATTCTTTTCCAACCAAGTTCAAAAGTCCATATTAAAACATTCCCAACCAACTGTAATGGCAGTAAAAGGATCTCATATATTAATATGTCTATTAGATTTATCATGATTTCCCCTTACACATATTATTTTCTTTTCTACTCAATAGCTTTGGAAACTGTCATGCCTTTTACAGAGGCAGGCAAGCTGAGGTGCAGAGAAGTGGTGTATATTGCTCCAGTTCACCAACAGCATATCTGAGACTCGGTCCACAGATTTTTCTACCCCATTCTGAAGCAGAGATGACAGATTCCCTGTCAACCTCCATTCAAGGCTTAGTTTTGTCAAGAAGGGCATGCTACATTTACATCCGGTTGGTGGAATACAGAACCATGGTAGCTAACACTCTCCAACTTCTCACTGAATCAATGTATTGCTTCTAGAAAATTCTAATGTCTGCCTTAGTTTATAGACCCAAATAATAGACATGAAAATAGGGGAGGTCAACAAACCACAGTGAAATTTTGTACAAAGAGAGGATTTGAGTGGAGGAAATTCTTAGATTTCCTGTGGCAGAATGTGGGGTCAACCTAACAGCTGACCCCACATTCCTTCTGCTGCTCTCTTCCAACAAAAGCTGAAACTGTATATATTCTGCAGCCTCCTTTCACATGGAGGTGGCATGACACACATTTCTGGCCAATGAGACCTGAGCAGATGTCAGCAGGGGCCCTTCTGAGAAAATCCAAAGCCTTTGCAAGAGACTCCAATGGTGACACAGAACAAGCTAAGAGAGTGCAGGGTCCCAGCTGACTTCTTGAGCTGCTAGACTAGCTAGACTGGGATGAGATGGCTCATTTCTCAAAAAGTTACTATGTAAGGGGAACAAACTGAGTATTTGTCGCAGCAACAGCTTGGTGTCTGTTTTTCTGCATCCCAAAGCATTAGCAATTAATAGAAAGTCAATTGCTATGCATATGGGAGTCAGAGAGATAGGGTAGCTCAGTGGCTTTGGGGAGGGCTCAAAGATTTCCTTCTGTTCCTCTCTGCTCTTCTACATTTCAGATGTCTTCACCGAAGCTGCTCAGGACTCGCCCAAACCTATCTAACTTACACAGATCCAGGAGTCACACAGAACACTAGGGTATGACCAATAACGGTACATAGGAGTTATCAACATAGTACCTGCCTCCAAAAACCTACTGCCCCTTTTCACGTGCTCACACACAATGGAGACTGAATGGGAAGCAGCATCTTAGGGCTCCTCCTGGGGTTTCTGCTATTACCACAGTGACACAGTGTGTGAAGGATACTTTAATATACTTCTGAATTACTCGTGTGTGGTTTATGATGGCTCTAGGAGAAAGTCGATGTAAAATTCCATTTCACAACTCAGAAAACTGAGACTTGGAGAACTTAGATGGTGTCATTAACTGACACAGCCAAGTTGGATTTGGCTGAAGGTTTATCAGACAATGGGAGGGAGACCCTTCTCACTTCACTGAGCTAGTGGCAGGGAGAACAAGATTGTTGCTCTCCTCACTGGACATACTGACTGTTCTACTGAGTAATTTGCTAAACCCTTCTGCGGAAAGGGAAGATTAAATTGTATGTGTGTAAAGGGGCATTTTCACATTGTGGTGTAGCAGGTGATTGTCTTAAGAGTAATTGGAAGTGTACTGCAAGAGAACTCTAAAACTTACATGGAATAAATAAGACCTTCCCCTATATGGGAATTTAATATCTGACATCATGCTGATAGTCATTTGTTTGTGCTAAATATTGCCCTTATGTCATGAACCACATTTAAAACAAAAGTAGGGCATGAAGGAGTATCATAGTATCCAATTATAAACAATTCCCTCAATACCAGGGCAGCCTACAAAACCATTGAATGGAAACATATAAAATCCCCACTGCACCCAGCATTTCTATAATACTGGTGAAAAGTTGTGTTTGAATAACTGAGTTATGGGTTCTCCATTATTAGGTACATGAAACTCACTATGTCTCTAACATCATAGGTCTGAAAAGTAGAGAATAACATAACCTGAATAGTTCCGAAGAACTATTCAGAAAATTACAAATATTTGTAATATGTATTTTACAAGTTCTTAAAGCAGTAGCCGACAGAGGGTACTTAGTAAGTATTTGACATAATTTTCCATAAACATCCAAAGTACAGACACAATGCCAAGAGGACCTAGACTTTGTCCTGGCAAAGGTAAGTATGGTGGGTGGAGGGCAGGTGGCCTGGCTTCCTCCAAGCTCCAGAGAAAGCACAATAGTGAGGTCTGTGCCAAGCGGGAAAGAAACGCAATCCACAGGCTTCCTCAATGTAACAATGAGAATGCAAAATGTGGATGAGCATGACACATTCTCTGGGGTGGATAGGAAAATCAGTAGATTTTCTCTTGGCACTGAGTTCTTTCTCTGCTGTGTCTTTCCTCCAAAACAAGTCAACCAGTGACTGTCTTATATGCATTTTAAAATTACCTTTCTGTAATGCTTTCAGCCACTGACTTCGACTCTCTTCATTCGATGCATAGACATAGAGAAGCCCATCTTTATAGACAATCTGGAAAGAAAAAGATTTGGCACCTTAAAATATAACCACTTTTGGGGGCTGGAGCGATTGTACAGTGGGTAGGTCATTTTCCTTGCATGTGGCCAACTGGATCTGATCCCAGGAACCCTGAGGCCACCAGGAGTGATCCCTGAGCACAGAGCCAGGAGTAAGCCCTGAGCATCACTGGGTGTGGCCCTCTAAAAAGGTAAATAAATAAAATCAAGTATAGCTACATTTTTCAACTGCACATTTTCTGTTATAAAAAATAAACATGAGTTTATTTCTGCCACGAAAGCTCTGGAGTCAAAGGTAAAAAATTTTTTTGTTTGTTTTGGTTTTGGTTTTTTTGTTGTTTTTGTTGTTTTTTGCTTTTGGGATCATATCTGGCAATGCTCAGGGTTACTCCTGGCTCATGCACTCAGGAATTACTCCTGGCAGTGCTCGGGGGACTGGGAATGGAACTCGGGTCGGCTACATGCAAAGCAAACACCCTACCCGCTGTGCTATTGCTCCAGCCCCTAAAAATGTTTTTTATCATGAAGGGAATCCTATTGTATTACCAACTGCACTGTCCCTCACCTCCCACCCCCACAGATCACATCACTTAGTCTGTCCAGAATGGCCAGTGCTCCTGGGGTTCCAGGCATGCAGAATGTCTGTGTCCATGGCAAGTGGCTGGTGTCTCCTGGGCAGATGAGAGCCATGGAGGGCCTGTCATATCCTCTGTGGATCTCCAATTTGGACATTTTCTCAGGAAGCTGGTAGTTTTATTCCCATACTTTAATTTGTTTTACCCCAGATACCTCTACACTTTGGGGAGAAAAGGACAGTAGTGATGCATCAGGTGCAGTGAGTATTGAGGTCTCAGCAGGAATGGCCTGGTCATTGGGAATTAAAATTATAAAATGTTAACTATTACAGGTATCTTAGTCTATTTACCCACCAACGGAAAGACTTTATAATTTATTAGAAATTTTTTTATCTACCGTATCCCTAAAAATATATTCAAGGATGAAATTCTATTACATACTGACCAATTTCCATATATCTCAAACATAATGAAGTTCAAGCTTATAATTAGTAAAATATATGTCACCATGTTATTCCCTTGGGTCATGTCTCACCCTGGAAATCCCCAGCATGTCATTTTCTACCTTGTATGACACCCAAGTATTTGAAGGTGACAATGTCTTCTCCAGATCCTCCTGTTTTTTTCAACTCTTGTTGATAACTAAGTCATTTATTAAACACCTTCTACTAACTAGCTTCTTTCCTAGATGATTTCACACTTTAATCCTACTTCTGTTCTTTCACAAACACATGATTAAACCTACTTTGCAACCAAACTCAGAGCCTGTGTGTGACTTACAGTTGCATAAATATAACAGAGGGACTACGGTCTCAGGAAGCTTTAAAGCCTGTGTTCTTTTGAGTAATCTATGCTTCTGTAGAATACTCAAAAGAACACAGGCCTTAAAGCTTCCTGAGACCGTAGTCCAATATTCCAATATGAATTTGGAGCATATTTCATGAGCAAATACACTTCTGGTTCTAACCCCCACTGGATATTATTCTTCTTTCCAGTGGGAAGTATGGCTTGTTCATCAGCTAGATTGTTCTATTTTGCTCTGTTTGGGGTTCCTTCATATGAGAACTAGGTAGCCCGACCAGATGGTCTGCTTTTTATTTATTTATTTATTTGTTTGTTTGTTTGTTTGTTTTTGGCTTTTGGGCATGCCCCGTGATGCTCAGAGATTACTCCTGGCTCTGTACTCAGGAAACACTCCTAGTGGTGTTCAGGGGACCACATGCAATGCCGGGGATGAACCCAGGTCGGCTGGTTGCAAGGCAAAGTCCCCACCCGCTGTACTATGGCTCCATCTCTGGTCTGCTTTTCGATCACAAAGATAATTATTCATATTCATGAGATAAGAGTAGGGCATGAGACATGTCAAGTCATTGTAAAGAGTGTTCTCTCCACAGCAGACCATGGTTTGACACACCTCAAGATAAAATGAAAACTTCTTAGCATGTTGGGCAAAGCCTTTCACGATGCAGTCCTGCCTATACCCTTCAAGATCAGCTCCTCCACTTCTTCACAGCTCTGCCTTTTTTTTTGGCTGGGAGGTCACACGCGGAGATGCTCAGGGGATATTCCTGGCTCTGCACTCAGGAGTCACTCCTGGCAGTGCCAGGGGGACCATATGGGGATTCGGGGATTGAACCAGGGTTGACTTTGTGCAAGGCAAATGCCCTCCCCGCTGTAAAATCGGTCCAGCCCCAGGGCAGCCCTTTTTGAAAGGACTATTCTGCGCTCTCCAAACATGTATGTATTACTGCTCACCGCCTTGGCTCCTGTATTTGTGTCACTGTACTTCCTGTTTTTGCTGAGCTAACTTCCATTTATCTTTCTCTATGTCACCTCCAAAAGAAAGTCTCCTTGACCTCCTAAAGATTCTGCTTCATGGGTCCCAATGGGATACTCTGCTTTTTCTTGTTGTTGTTGTTGGTGGTGGTGGTGGTGGTGGTGTTGGTGGTGGTAGTAGTAGTAGTAGTAGTAGTAGTAGTAATAGTAGTAGTAGTAGTGGTGGTGTAGTAGCAATATTTGTAGTAGTAGTAGTAGTGTACCAGGGATCAAATCCTGAGCTCATGCATGTAAGCTTTACCATGGACTCACAATCTGGCCAACTGTCACCTTAAACATTCATTCTCTGATTCTAATGATCTATAAGTGCCTTGAAGATGGGGAAGGCTGGTCATTCCTTATAGTGGGCCTAGTAGCTTACAACACTCCCAAAATGCCCTGCAATGCTGGATGGAGAGATTGTCACACTGCAAGACAAGTCATGCCATGCTGGCCTACACATTCTTTCTTTCTCTCCCTGTAAGAAAGTCCAGTTGGTGGCTATAATTGTCCCAAAATATTAAAACCTAAATTCAGATGTTCCAAATCAAACCTTGCTGTTGTATTAAAGAATCATTTCACTCTTGGTATCAGAGTAATAGTACAACAGGAAGGGTGTTTGCTGACTCGGGTTTGACCCCCAGCACATATGGTCCCCAAAACACTGCAAGGAGCAATTTCTGAGTGCAGAGCCAGTAGTAACTCCTGAGCATCAGCAGGTGTGGCCCAACCCCCCCCAAAAGAATCATTTTACTGGGACTGTAGAGATAATAGAGGGATTAAGTTGTTTGTATTTCTCATGGCCAACTCTGGTTTGATCCAAGCACTGCGAATGGTTCCCAAGCACTGCCAGGACTGATCTCTGAGCAGAGAGCCAGGAGTAAGCCCTGAGTGCCACAGGGTGTGACCAGAAAACAGATTAAAACAACAAGTATTATTTTACTAAGAAATCATTATTTATTCTAGATATATAATGTTGATATAGCATAGTGATAGCGATAGCATAGCAGGTAGGTTGTTTGCCTTGCACACGGCTGACCTGGGTTCGATTCCTCCGCCCCTTCGGAGAGCCTGGCAAGCTACCGAGAGTATTCCACCCACACGGCAAAGCCTGGCAAGCTACCCGTGACGTATTCGATATGCCAACCATAGTAACAACAAGTCTCACAATGGAGACGTTACTGGTGCCCACGCGAGCAAATCGATAAACAATGGGAGGACAGTGCTACAGTGCGTATAATGTTCATTGCAGAAAATATTTAAAAAGAAGAGCTAGCTATCCAGTGGAATATGTCCCTATCCTTACCTGAAATGGATACTGTCTCTCCACAGGAGTTTGCTCCTCCAGATTTACTTTCTCCACACATCTGATTTTCTTGATCTCGATCAATCCTTTTCTACTGCCTCTTTTCTGAAGGAAAAAAAAACACAATGGAAAATGTGATACACAGCGGCAAACAAAGTTTAGGTTATACCTGAGAAGGAGATTGGGGTGTAACTGGAAGAATCATTTCTGATTATTCACAGTATCCAACACCCAAAGACAACAGAACATGTATTTAAGGATGGAAACAAGCTCAAATACTCTTTCAAAAGTATGTCAGTAGAGATTAATGGTTTTGTTTTATAACCTTGAAACATTTTAAACCACCTGTCATGCAGCCAATCATCTCAGACAAATAGTTGTTTTCCCATGCAGCTTCGTATTATTTCCATTTATGACAGTATTTTGAATTTGTGCTGCTCTAGACTTCTCAACTGCACAGAGAAGTATCTTACATCTCCGTACATTGTCCATACCATATGAAAGTAGGTTTCTCACCTTCAGCATCATCTGAACCCAGAGAAAGACTTGTAATGGAGCTTATCCTGTGCATCTATAGGGTGATTAATTGCATTCTGGTCCCCCACACAATGATATTTGCATACCGGCACCCAAATTTTGATCACCAACAATGTCCCTGGACATTACTAAGTCTCTTGGGGAGCAACATCACCCTCAGTTGAGAACCACTATTCTACACCAACAATATACCTTAATCAAATGTTTTTTTTTTAATTTTTTTAAATTTTTATTAGTGAGACACCATGAGGTACAGTTGTAAGGTAAAGGTAAAGGCCCTCCCGTTGATCGTCGATTTGCTCGAGCGGGCCCAGTAACGTCTCCATTGGAGACTTTGTTGTTACTGTGTCTGGCATATCAAATACTCTCGGTAGCTTGCCGGGCTCTCCGAGAGGGGTGGAGGAATCGAACTCGGGTCGGCTATGTTGGCCGCATGTAAGGCGAATGCCCTACTCGCTGTGCTATCGCTCCAGCCCAGTTGTAGACTTACAAATTTTTGTGCTTGGGTTTCAATTATACAATGATCAAATATAAGTTCTTAATCTTTTTAGTTGGGGTTACACTGATTTATAACAACAATGCGTGAGTTTCAAACATACAGCTTTATACATCTACTTCCGTATATCTTGCATGGTGATCACCACCAGAAATCTAGTTTCCACCCCATGCAATGCTGTTGAATACCTTTACCTGTTTTATCCACCCCTCCCATGACCACCATTCTGCTATTAGAACCTAAGAATTTGAGGGGCCTGGGGGTTAGTTTTCTTGCTTTGTTTCTTTGCCTTTATATTGAATTAAAGTATACTTTGACTAAGAAGAGATAATGCAGCAAGTGAAGACAATGTGATCTTTACTGAGGAAGCAGAGAAGTCTGATGTTATCTCTTCCTAATTATTCAGTGTGAAGACAAGAAAAATCACATCAAAACAATTGCAAAATGAAGTCTCACCATTTTGTCGTATTCATAATAGGAGAGGTTTGTTTTAGTCAAAACAAAAAGGCGCTCTTTGTAATTATTTGGTGACATTTTCTTCTTCTGTTGTGACCTTTTGAGAAGAAGCTCTTCTAGAATAGATTTTGTATTCATATTGTCCTCCTAAATAAAATTAAAGCATGAAAATGTGTGCTTACTACATCTAATAAGATTTTCTTTTAGTGATCATAATTTCACTTAACTATTTCTCATTCGGGAACACTATAAAATATCACATATAAGAAAATTATATTTATGATTATGGAGAAAAATGTAATAAACAGACTCTTAATTACACACATAGTACCACTTTTTATTACTCTCTGGGCTTTATGTTGAATTATAATTATAATTATGATTATGACTTTAAGCTTATTGATTTTATGCCTTTCACCACCTTGCACTTCAAATTATAAATTTGTTATCTTTACAGTACTCTCCCTTATTGAAAATTTTCTTATCCCTTCAACAGACTATATGTTTATATTGAATGTAATATAAAACCTTAAAAATGTTTTTTTACAAAGCTGTTCATGATTGAATTTCAGTCATACAGTATTCGAACACCCATCCCTCTACCAGTGTACACTTGCCAGCACCAGTGTCCACAGGTTCCCTCCCACTCCCCCCACCCCCCACCCCCTGTCTGCCTGAGGTTATCCAGAATATCCCTTACTTTTTTTCCCGTTTTTTTGGGTCACACTCGTCGATGCACAGGGGTTACTTACTCCTGGCTCTGCACTCAGGAATTACTCCTGGTGGTGCTCGGGGGACCATATGGGATGCTGGGAACCGAACTCGGGTTGGCCAAGTACGAGGCAAACACCCTACCCACTGTGCTATCGCTCCAGCCCCCCCACCAACTTTTAACCTTCAGCTCTTGTCCAGTATGATAATATTGTGAGATATTTTATTTAAAAACTTTAAAGCAAATAAATTTTAGCTAAAATTTTTTTTAAAAAGAAAAAATAAAAAAGAAATGAAATGTTAATTCCATTGAAAAAACTAAATTCCGGACTTTGAAATAAGTAATGTAAAGAATAAATGTTTTCCCAATTTAAAAAAAAAGCCTTAAAATTTGAACTCCAGGCCAGAGAAATAAGTGCTAAGGCATATGTTAGAAGTCTTGAGTTTTATCCCCAGTATTATGGAACGTCTCCTCAACACTTACTAGGAAATAGTGTAGCCCCTATTAGAAAAGGAAAGAAAAATTAGAACTCCAGCCAGCTTACCATGTATGAAGCAACTGATTAACTGAAATTTCTCTCCATTAATGTGGCTAGTTGTTTGATCAAATTACCCAGAATACTTCGGGGTGTGTGCCATTGAGTTGACATCCACAGCCCCTAGTCATGAACATATTTTAACATAACAGACTTGAGTATACTTTTTATTATATTTTAATGCAGAACATTTCTTATACTTAAATCAGAAAATTTAAACATGCTTCCAAGGAAGATACAAAGAATTGGGAAAAGGTAGTTGTATGAACCAAAAACAATCTTGCTTTTCCTCCCCCAACTGTAGAAAAGATTAAATCTTGAGCTATTTCTGAAAAAACACATGTATCTATCTCCTGGTTCTATTAAGATTGTTCCTCAGTCACATCAGGTCCAATGATGAAAAGAAATTATGGTAAGCAGTAGACCATAAGACAGAAATATTCCTATGCTCCTTTAGATTTTGTGAAATCACATGATTATTTCAGATACCCACTCATTACTCTTTCTCCAATAATCTGAAAATAATTAACTTTACTCACCTTCCTGTAACAGAGCCAAAGTGCACTGATGAGACCTTAGATCTAACTCTCAACCTCTTAGTAGAAGGTACTGCTCAGAGGCACCATCAGTCCTATTTCCTCTTGATAGACCAGGGTCATGCATTAAAAATAAGCTATTTGCATCCTATTCATTACTCTACAACAGGAAGCAGCAATACAGGCTTTGCTCTGTCTGAAAGGAGGAGGACCTCCAGGGAACCTGTCCAATCACTAATGGACACTGCTCCCTGATCTTGGAGACTCATATTCCCACTGTGGCAGGGGAGTAGGAAGGTGGCTAGACTAAGAAATACAGCTTGGCATTGAATAGACCTGTGTCAGGCCCAACCAGTTTCCGTACAGACTTGTTGTGATGATTTATTTCCATAGATCAGGAGAGAACCAACCCCTCAAAAGTTAATCCAAAGCCACCTTTGGTTTATAAGCAGAAGTAGTAGAAATCTATCCATTCAATATAATAAAGTCTTGGTCACTTTATGTTTTGAATATTGTTTTATCTGGAAAAAATGTATAATTGTTTTGAGAAAGTAGGATGTAGTTTTTTTTACTGGACAGGTTCTATTCACCACAGTCAATGATTTCTTTGCCATAAACTCAAAACAGAACCGAAGTTGTGGGTATAATAAACCTAGTAGGACCTGGAAAGGCAGAAAGCATATCTATCTTTCACCTTTGCCTCCCTTATAATCTCTATGCATACACCTGTTTAAATCAGATTGTTTTCTGTTCCAGCATCTCCATGGAAAGAAGAAAATTTGCTGGAAATTTTAATAAAAATATGTGAAGGTTCTAGGTTTTGTGAGTTTAAGTATCCTTTGTAGAAGCCATACTACACTGGACATAGTTCTTGGGCACTGCTTCCTTTGACACTTTACTAACAAAACAAGAAAATTCTTGTCAAGTTTTTTTCCCTATCCATAGTTAATACAGTCCTCCTCAAAGTGGAATTCTACTCATAAAGTAACAAAATAGGAGACTAACACCCAATAATGGCCAAGATTAGTACCAGGAATTTTGCTCCATGGCTTGGAGGCCAGCCACACATGCTAGGGGAAAAGGCAGCTCAGATAGAGAAGGGAGCACCAAATAAAGGGTGTTGGGAGGATCCTCCCAGGATGGGAGAAGCATGCTGAAAGTAGGCTATAGACCAAACATGATTGCCACTCAATGCCTCTCTTGCAAACCACAACACCCAAAAGGAGAGAGAGAACAAAAGGGAATGCTCTGCCACAGAGGCTGGGTGGGATGGGGGTAATGGGGGGTGGGAGGGAGGGGTACTGGGATTTGTGGTGGTGGGAAATGGGCACTGGTGGAGGGATGGGTATTTGATCATTGTATAATTGAAACCCAAGCACAAAAATTTGTAAGTCTACAACTGTACCTCATGGTGTCTCACTAATAAAATTTTTTTAAAAGTAAAAAAATAAATCATTTTCTCTTTATCATAGAAAAAATGTATTCAGCATGGAACGAGATAATATTAAATAACGTTTATGAATCTCTGAAAAAAGTGGAGTTCTACTTAAATAGATGTAGCATTGTAACACTGTCCTCCAATTGTTCATCGATTTGCTTGAGCGGGCACCAGCAACATCTCCATTGTGAGACTTGTTACTGTTTTTGGTATATTAAATATGGTGCAGGGAGCTTGTCAGACTCTGCTGTGTGAGCAGGATACTCTCGCTAGATAGCTGGGTTCTCCGAGAGGGACAGAGGAATCGAACCCAGGTCAGCCGCATGTAAGGCAAATGCCCTGCCTACTGTGCTATCACTCCATGTAGTTAGTTTAATTAAAAGTTTGTTTTTGCTTTTTTTCAGATGCTGAATCAACTTATAACGTTAAGAAAATCAATCTGCGACAGTAGATCACTGTTTTAGGGCCCCACATGACTTCGTGGTAGTATATGCTTAGTGTTGTGAAGTCCTGAGTTCTATTGCTGGCACAGAAAAACAAAACCAAAGTTCTAAACCCTCCACTGTTTTAAAAAGGTAGATGCCAATGTCCAAAGTGGACAACCTTCTTCAAAATGGCCTGATGACCAAGTAAAGGGTGTTTGGAGGGTCCGCTCAGGATGGAGATGCATGCTGAAAGTAGACTACGGACCAAACACTATTGCCATTCTATTGCAAATCACAACACCGTAAAGGAAAGAGAGTAAAAGGGAACGCCCTGCCACAGAGGCAGGGTGGGGTGGAGGGAATAGGGTTGGGGGGTGGGAGGGACACTGGGATCATTGGTGGTGGGGAATGGGCACTGGTAGAGGGTTGGGTACTCGAGCATTGTATGACTGAAACACAAGCACCAAGGTTTGCAAGTATGTAACTGTACTTCACGGTGATTCACTAATTAGAAAAAAAATGGCTTGATTATACACAATTTTTGTTTAAAAAACTTTTACATCCAGTAAATTAAAGATTATTTTGAAGTGATTAGAACTGTGTATGATGAGCCACAGACATCTGCAACAAATAAGATTTATAAAGTCTGCTGGAGTGATAGCACAGCGGTAGGGCGTTCGCCTTACAAGCGGCCAACATGGCCGACCCGAGTTCGATTTCTCCGCCCCTCTCGGAGAGCCCGGCAAGCTGCCGAGAGTATTCGATATGCCAGACACAGTAACAACAAAGTCTCCAATGGAGACGTTACTGGGCCCGCTCGAGCAAATCGACGATCAACGGGAGGGCCTTTACCTTTTACCTTTACCTTGAAGAGAAGAATATCAGCTAACAAAGAAGTAAGCAATTCCCTGAGCACATGATATTTCCAAGGTCTTCTGCGTCTTGTAAAATTTCAACAAACTCGTTCATTTCCAAATCTTGTCATTTGTGACTTCCTTGCTTTCATTAAAAAACAAATAAACATGTGATCTCTGTTTGCAAATCCAAGAACTCTGGGCAATCAAAAGGAAATATCTGCTAACATTTTGGTGAAAATAGTGCTGGGATCTTATCATATGTACCTTTTCAGGAAAAAAAAATGAGCTCACATATTGTGCATGTGGGTCAGCCCTCGGTCCTTATGTAACAAAAACCTGAGCCACACATCTCTGAAAGTTCTTTGAAAATTCTTCTCCTGAGTTTCTTCTACAGTTTCCTATCAAACGTGCAGAATACCGTTTGGATGACTCACACCTTTGTCATCATTTGAGTTCCTTATTTGAGTTAATACCTGCTTCCTGCTCAAGTGAGGACCTGCATTTTCCCTTCTATTTATTTGCTTTTTGCCTTGTACTTAGCACTTCTCCTGATGACCCTATTTCTAAACTGAACTTTCATGTATGGCTTCTCTCCATAGAGGAGGCGATCATGGGTGGTAGCTGCATTTTAGAAGCAGAATGTC